TTAGTGGATTCTGAGTATTTACTGTACATTGGTCTTTTGGATTTACTTTGCTTTTATGGAATTACCTTGTTATGTTGGACTGCTTTGTTTAGACACAGCCTACAAGTTCACTTTGTTTGTTAATAAATTATTGGATGAAAACTTTCCTGATTGCATATCTGCATTTGGGTCCTAAACACGTATTTCCCTGAGCACACGGTTCCCTAGCTTGACATTTGACCATTAACCCAACAGACTTTTTTTCTGAAGAATTTAAGAATTCTGTAGAATTTTCTCTTGCCTTGTGATCTAGCTTAAGGTCGTTGGAAGAATGCCATTTGTTTTTTAGCCACTCCAGAAGGTTTCTTCTAGGCCTTGGCTGTGGAATTGGTTATGTAAATGTGCTTGTAGTGAAGATATCAGGCTAAGATTCAGATATATTTTTCAGGAGTTGGTTGTCCAGTGAACACTGGAACATCCTATAGTTGCACTATGCACATTGTGTAGGGCCCTGCATATTAAGCAAGGCCCCGCCTCAAAGCAAGCATCAGTATTTAATGACATTTTGATGAGAGTATGAAGAGGAAACTATCCTTCTGGGGACGAGAAGAGAAAAAAACTCAATGAGAGTGAATTGCAGGAACAGCAATCACATAAATTTGTGTTCTCTCCTCTCAAAGTCTGATGTCGGCAAATAACAGTAAATGAAATGTAAACTGAGGTTCAGGAACAGGACCACGTCTCTCTCACTTATTTGACCACCTGCGCTTCATTCAGTTCCTCCAATCAACCACCCGTGCGTCACTCATTTCATCCACCCGTCCCTCTCAAATCCAATCACATGCACTTACTATAAAGCTGTCTAACCCGTTTTCTCTCCGTTTCTCAGTTCTCACATCCCTCCCACCCAAACCCTGCTTGTTCACCTCTTTTAATGGGCAGCAAAAAGAATTGTGTCCGAACAGCTGCTCACTGTCCTGGAAAATAACAAATTATTTGAAAAGTTTCAATCTGGTTTCAGGAAGTACCACAGCACTGAGACTGCCCTGCTTAAAGTCACCAATGACCTTTTAATGTCTGCTGATGAAAGCATGTGCTCAGTCCTGGTACTCCTGGACCTTAGCGCTGCTTTTGACACCATTGATCACAACATCATGTTAGACAGACTGAGGCACTGAGTGGGGATCTCTGGTACTGCTCTAGAATGGTTTTCATCCTACCTGTCAAATAGGAAGTTTTGCATGTCTGTAAACAACTATGTCTCCTCATTCTGTCCAGTTAAATATGGTGTGCCTCAGGGGTCGGTCTTAGGACCCATTTTGTTTTCCTTGTATCTGCTTCCCCTTGGACATATTATCCATAAACATGGTATTTCTTATGCTGATGACACACAAATATACTTGCCCGTCAGATCCACAGACCCTGGAATGCTGAGTTCACTTAACAACTGCCTTTGCAAAGTTAAAAAATGGATGTATTTCGTTGGCATTAAAGGAACCGCTCTAAGCTGGTTTAAGTCCTATTTATCAGATCGATTTCAGTTTGTACATGTTAACGATGAGTCCTCCATGCACGCCAAAGTTACTCATGGAGTTCCTCAAGGATCTGTCCTTGGACCAATCCTCTTCACTTTATATATGCTTCCTTTAGGCAATATTATCAGGAAACACTCCATAAACTTCCATTGTTATGCAGATGATACTCAGTTATATCTATCGATCAAGCCAGATGAAACTCATCACTTAGCTAAACTTCAAATGTGCCTTCAGGATGTTAAAACCTGGATGACCTGTAATTTTCTCATGTTAAACTCAGATAAAACTGAAGTTATTGCTCTGGGGCCTAAGCACCTCCGTGACGCATTATCTAAAGATATAGTTTCCCTGGATGGCATCGCCTTGGCCTCCAGCACCACTGTGAGGAATCTTGGAGTTATCTTTGATCAGGACATGTCGTTTAAGTCTCACATTAAGCAAATTTCAAGGACCGCCTTTTTTCACCTACGTAATATTGTGAAAATCAGGAACATCCTGTCTAAAAATGATGCAGAAAAACTAGTCCATGCATTTGTTACTTCTAGGCTGGATTACTGCAATTCCTTATTATCAGGCTGCTCGAAAAAGTCCATTAAGACTCTTCAGCTGATCCAGAATGCTGCAGCACGTGTTCTGACAGGAACCAGGAAAAGAGATCACATTTCTCCTGTTTTAGCTTCTTTGCATTGGCTTCCAGTAAAATCCAGAATAGAATTTAAAATCATTCTTCTTACCTACAAAGCTCTTAATGGTCAGGCACCATCTTATCTTAAAGAGCTCATAGTACCTTACTACCCCACCAGAGCACTGCGCTCCCAGAATGCAGGGTTACTTGTGGTTCCTAGAGTCTCCAAAAGTAGACTAGGAGCCAGAGCGTTCAGCTATCAAGCTCCTCTCCTGTGGAACCAGGTTCCAGTTTGGGTTCAGGAGGCAGACACCATCTCCACATTTAAGAGTAGGCTTAAGACTTTCCTCTTTGATAAAGCTTATAGTTAGGGCTGGCTCAGGTAGTCCTGAACCATCCCTTAGTTATGCTGCTATAGGCCTAGACTGCCGGGGGATTTCCCATGATGCACTGAGCTCCTCTCTCCTCTACTTTCTCTCCCTCTGTATGCAACCTTATCCCATTATTGCATGTTACTAACACAACTTCTCCCCTTTCTGGTAGTCTTGTGCTTTCTCGTCTCTCTCCTCTCTCCTATCACTTCCTGCAGGTTTTCTGGCTCTGGAGCTGTGGAGTCTGGAGCTGTGGCTGCGGGTCACCTGCTGCCCCCGTGTTCCTGCTCGACACCCTCTACTACAACGACTATTGTTGCTAGTCTTATTGTTATTATAATCATTAACATTACGATGGTTACCATTAACACTATTATAAATATCTGTACCATTTTTCATTTAGTCTATTGCAACATTACCTTCACTGTGTGTACCTCTGTGTGTATATTGTGTAGGCTGCCTCTCTCTCTCCTTACATCTCTCTCTCCTTACATCTCTCTCTCTCTTTCTCTCTCTCTCTCTCTCTCACCCCAACCGGTCGAGGCAGATGGCCGCCCACCCTGAGCCATGATTCTGCTCGAGGTTTCTGCCTCTTAAAAGGAAGTTTTTCCTTGCCTCTGTCGCCTAGTGCTTGCTCTTGGTGGGAACTGTTGGGCTTCTGTAAATAACATCATAGAGTATGGTCTAGACCTGCTCTTTTATGAAAAGCGCTGTGAGATAACTGTTGTTGTGATTTGGCGCTATAAATAAAATTTTATTGAATTGAATTGAAATGTCAAATAATTTCCTCCAGCTGAACTCAGACAAAACAGAAATCCTGGTCATCGGGTCTCAGCAGATGTCAAATCAAATACTGCCATCTGCTAGTTCCCTAGTAAATCACATTAAGCCTGTGGCAAAGAACCTTGGTGTTTGGTTTGATAGTAATTTAAATTTCGAGCAGCACACCACAAAGCTTGTTCAATCACGTTTTTATCAACTTAGAAATATAGCAAAAATTCTATCTATGTTAACTTTTAAGGACACCGAGACCATTTTACACGCCTTCATCTCATCACGCCTGGATTATTGCAACAGCCTTTTCACCTGTTTAACCCAAAAATCTATTGATCGACTCCAGACTGTCCAGAACTCAGCTGCCAGGCTTTTAACCAGAACAAAGAAATATGACCACATTACTCCTATTTTAGCTTCATTACACTGGCTCCCAGTATGTTTTAGAATTGACTTTAAAATTCTATTGATCACTTTTAAAGCTCTTCATGGCCTCTCGCCTTGTTATATTTCTGAACTTTTAGTCCCATACGCACCAGCACGTACCTTGAGATCCTCGGGCAGAGGTCTGTTGTCTGTTCCAGAGTCTCGACTGAAAACTGAAGGGGACAGAGCGTTTGCAGTCAGGGCCCCGAGGCTCTGGAACAGCCTGCCTGAGGAAATCAGGTCGGCTGAGTCAGTGAACTCTTTTAAGTCCCTTCTTAAAACATACTTTTATAGGAGAGCCTTTCCCGATCTTATTTGACTTTATTTTATCCCTTTCATTTTATTGTATTTTACTAATTTTATATTTATCTCAAACGTATATTTTAGTCTTTTCAATGTTTTCATGCTTTTATCTTGTAATGTTTTTGTATTATTGTCTCTTGGGTATTATTGTCTTTACACTTGTTAAAGCACTTTGTAACTTGTTTTTGAAAAGTGCTCTACAAATAAAGATTATTATTATTATTATTATTATTATTATTATTACATAGGTTTTGTTTATTTCTGTAAAAGGGAATGAGATTGGTTTATGGCCTCTGTCCACTCAGAGGTCCTGACAGCCCTAGTGCGGGTAGTTACATATCTGGACAAGGTTAAATTGTCACTTTAACAGTCATGAGTAGAGTCAGTTAATTTAACTCCACAGGAGATGGTGGTTTGTATGGTTGATAACGTGGGCAACCAGCACTCAGAGTGGATACAAAGTTTTTCATGTGGCAGGCCTTGCTTAAACCGCCTCCTATTTTGGAGTGCTGGGCTGAATTTAGGGAGGTCCGGACCAGTTCTTCTTGTTAAAAAGCCAGTTTTTATCCTACACACTGACAGAGTTCCTGAAGTGTCCCTAAAAGCAACATACATTGGTGAAAGAGAAATAATTGTACCTACTGAATCATGGAGAACAGCACACAGAGTTCATCTATTTCTTCATGGAATGAATGTTTTGTATTAAAGCGGATTCGCGGATTGGTCCCTGCTGGTTTCAAGACAGAAATCAAAGAGTTGTCTAAACTGGCCGGACCAGTGGTGAGTAGCCTGTATTTAGTGTGGGGAAATCTGATTAAATATCTTTCTGTTTTCCCGGCTACTTTTCATTGATTTTGATCTTTCTCATCAGATACTTGCCGAGTTCATGGTTTTTGCAGTGAGTTTTGTTAGTACTATGTTCTGTGGCCATCTGGGGAGGAAAGAGCTGGCAGGGGTTACTTTGGCCACAGCAGTAAGTACAGTAGTAATGTTTCTACAGTAAAAGTTAAACAAATAAAGCAACAGAACATAACCCATCAATGTTTGTGTTATATCCTCAGGTTATTAATGTTACAGGTATATCTGTTGGATCTGGTTTATCAGCAGCATGTGATACTCTGATTTCTCAGGTATGATCCTTTCAGACACATGTTTTTGAGTATTAGCAACAGTCTTGTAAAAAAAATTAAATTAAAAAAATCTCTGGTTTCAGACCTTTGGGAGCCGCAACCTCCTGAGAGTTGGGGTTATTCTGCAGCGGGCGATCCTCGTTTTGATACTGGCATGTTTCCCCTGCTGGGCGATCCTCATTAACACAGAGTCCATTCTACTGGCTGTCAGACAGGATCCAGAGGTGGCCAGGTCAGCTGTTAGAAAATTTCCTTGTCTTCACCTGCTTTAGTTTGTTGTTTTCCTTTACCTTTACTCATTGTTTTCAAGATTATGTTTGTTATTGATACAGATAAAAAAATCTCTTTCTAGGTTGTCTCAGATGTATGTGAATATCTTTATGCCAGCACTTCCTGTGAGTATTTCAAACCTCTCATTATAAAACTCAGCTTAGTAGTAGTAGTTCTGAAAAAGAAATATATATTGATTGTTTGTTGTTTACAACATCTGCAAGTCAGAAATGTTTCTCTGTTGTTCTGTCTAGGCTACGTTCATGTATTCATTAGAAACAAGATATCTGCAAAACCAGGTACGTGCATTATTATTCAACATTAAGTAACTACCTGATGAGCTATATAAGTGATTTGCTTCTTTAGTGAATCAAATACACAGAAAGATTCTATTAGTCATCCTTATACTTCCAGGCTGCATATTGATGTGACATTAGAGATCAGTTCTGTCTAAATTCAGATGGCAGTGAGGTCAGGGCTTCCTGAACTTTGCCATGTCAAGGACCAAAAGCAGACACTAGACCATAACGATGAGTTTACAGATTTATTTAAGCAAAAACAAAACGTTGTTTACCTTTTTGTTTTCACTTTTCTCCAGGCAACAAAACTTGAAGCAGTCCAAACAAACCAATAAATCCAAAATCTTATTAAGCAGGGTGAGCGAGTGTCAATGTTTACAGTGGATGAAGGAGGAAGCTATCCTCCAGCCAGAGTAGATCCTGACCACCCTGGGCACCTAAGCAAAATTCTTCTATGAGGCCCTCCTACCTGACTCGTGAACTATGTAAACAATTTGCCATTGCTGCACGGTCACACCTGACACCACAATGCTCTGCCATCTTTAAAAAAGTCTTTCTCTGTAGTAAACCTGATTGAAAACATCTCCAGTGCTGGTCTGAATGGACCTCTGCGCAATAACTCGGTCCTCATAAAGTCTGTTAAGACTGGAGGCCAATCTGTTGGGTCATTTATGGTGCAGAAACTGTTCCATTAGGGTCTGAGCTGCTTGGTAGTTTTCATCCTACCTGTCAAATAGGAAGTTTTGCGTGTCTGTAAACAACTATGTCTCCTCATTCTGTCCAGTTAAATATGGTGTGCCTCAGGGGTCGGTCTTAGGACCCATTTTGTTTTCCTTGTATCTGCTTCCCCTTGGACATATTATCCATAAACATGGCATTTCTTTTCATATTTATGCTGATGACACACAGATCCACAGACCCTGGAATGCTGAGTTCACTTAACAACTGCCTTTGCAAAGTTAAAAAATGGATGTCAAATAATTTCCTCCAGCTGAACTCAGACAAAACAGAAATCCTGGTCATCGGGTCTCGGAAACTAGATTTAATATTCAACTAGAGGTAAAATAGTAGGCTATACTATTATATGAGTGGACAGTGGACAGATGTAGATACCAGTGTGCCAATATGTGCTCCTTCTAACCGCCTCCTCCTGAGAGCAACATGCTCCCTGTTTTACTATCGTTATAAATATTTTTTATCATTTAACTTTGTTCAACTTGAGAAATACACATTTCAAAATGTCAGCATTTTGTGCATTTTCCTTGATAATCAAGCAATTAGACTTATAGTACCATTTGTTCCATTATAATCAAATCACAATCGCAAATTGTAAGCAATTGGTGCCATCTTCAACCATGTTCTTCCTTGACACCCTTTGCTTCAATTGTTATTACTAGTCGTATTGTTGTTATTATTATTATCAATAACATTACCATAGTTTTTCCTTGCCTGTGTTGCCAAGTGCTTGCTCAAGGCTGGGCCCTGCTTTAAGATCCAGTGTGCAAAATTTCTGATCTGATCCAGTGACAGAAATGCAATATAACTATGTTTTCATTGTTGTATAAAGACCTTACACAATGAACCATTATGTCTTTATTACATAATCGCGGGTCCCCCCTTCCATGGACTTGTCTTGTTGCACTGCCGTGTTTCTACAGTTTGGTCACTATGTTTGGTCTCTATGTTCTTCTTGTTCTTCTTCTTGTAAAATTCAGGCAGTGTAGACACTCATCACCACGTTGAATAAGTATGTTCAAAGAAGAAGAAGAAGAAGAAGTAACAAAATAAAGCCAGGTTCAGCAAATAAGTTTAACATCAAAGCAATTTTTTTAACCGTTAGATGGTGGTTGAGAATATAAGAATTATTATTTGAAACCGTTGTTAAAGTGTTTGGTTAGCTCAGGTGGTAAAGTGCAGGACCCTTACCTAGAAGGCTGTGTTTGATCCCAAGTTGTTTCTCTTTATGACAAATTGATTCTAGAACGACTGTTTCTCAGGCTCACAAAAAGCACATGCTGCAGTGTTTGTATTCCAGTGTTTGATCTGCAACCATTTAAGGGAGTCACTTTTTCTTTCTTTCAGAGGTGTGTCAAGCAGGCTACAGACTCTTTCTCAGACTTTTTAATGTTGTTCTTCTTTTTTGAAAAGTAAAAGCTATCAATTCAACTCCAAATAAGCATTGCAGCAAAAAACTGTCTCACACTTTTATTTTGTAGTCAAAACCACTAAAGAGGAAGTTATTATGTGAGTAACTATTGCTATCATGACTGCGATCTTTTTCCAGCACCGCTATCAAAGTATTTTTGGTGGGTTTTTTTGCTGCTATCAAAGCACCACAATGTGGCCGCGAGCCAGATATTTTTGCTGGTGGGCAGTTTTGTCAAGGGTCTATAATCACCAAGAGAAGTAATGTGTTTCCCTTGTCAATATTTGTATAAACTTCCTCTTTTATATGGTTTATAATGAAATGCGGTGCAGAAACAGTGACAGTGTTACACACTGTTGGCTGACTTTTTCTGTGTTATTTGTCAGTGGCCAAGTTGCAATAACACATGGTTTTACTGAATAATTAAGTAAATATAATTTCCTCATATATCAACCTAAAGAAACCTCATTTCTTGAGCGGCTACTCTCTGCTATCTTAGAAGAGACACCGCTCTGATTATTGTTATTGTTTTGATCTTGTTGTTGATTATTTTATTCCATTCCGTTTTGTATTATAACTGTCTTTCTGATTTTATTAGCCTCATGGCAGTCCCGTTGTAATCCTAATACAAACATGTAAAGCATGTTGTAACTTTGTTTTGAAAGTGCTGTATAAAATAAGTTTATTATTGTTATTATTGTAGCCATCTTTGGGTACTCAATACACTGCCGTGAATAACAATAATATGTGGCACTACTTTTTTAGGGTATCATATGGCCAGAGGTAATCACAGGCTTTGTGGTCAATCTTCTGAATATTCTTATCAACTACATCTTTCTTCACCCATTAAATCTAGGAGTAGCGTGAGTATTTCCCTTTGAACTGCACATGACTCTTTCAGTAACATCATTATGTCTCGCATCACATAACATATATCATGCAATGAAATACTCTTTACAGTGGTTCTGCTGTAGCCAACACAATTTCCCAGTTCTCCATGGCTGGAATTCTCTATGCTTATATCATATGGAAAGGTCTTCATAAGGCAACCTGGGGAGGTGAGTGCAACATGTGCATTGGAGGATAGTGACCCTACCTATAATCACAGGCTCAGTGATAGTGGTTCAAAGTTGTAGCTCAGGAGTGAAGAGATTAACCACGTTACTAATTAAAACTTAAAGCTAAGGTAGGCAGTTTATTTCAGAAGCATTTTTGTTATATTTATTGATTTTCCCTTTACATCTTGACAGCAAACAATAAATCAAATGCTAGGACATAAAAATGAACAGAAATCCAGTGTTTTTGGCTGTTGCCGGACTGTAATAATGTAGTTTAATGTGAAAAATACTATTACAAATACAAAGATCAGAAATCTTCTTTGTTGGAAGTAAAAGTAATTCTGAGTTGTGTATAAACAGACAGACTGATTGATAACTTGAGTAATTGAATGATTAATTGATTTTTTGACACACAGGCTGGTCTAAAGAGTGTCTGCAGGACTGGGGCTCATACATCCACTTGGCCATCCCAAGCATGGTCATGTTGTGTGTCGAGTGGTGGACATTTGAGATTGGAAGTTTTCTAGCAGGTAATGTGACTTTGGCCACTTTGTGGTTTTGAAGCTAAAAGTTTGTCTGAAATGAAACAGCTGTTTGTCACTGACAGGTCTAATAAGTGAGGTGGAGCTTGGAGCTCAATCAGTTGTGTATGAACTGTCAACTGTTGCATTCATGGTAATTTTCCTCTCATTTGAAATGATATTTCCACCAAATACTAAATATACATCAAGTAATAATGTGTAAAATGAATTACTTATTTGTACACACAGTGTAACAACATGTTATTTTTTTGTCAGTTCCCTCTGGGTTTCAGTATAGCAGGCAATGTAAGAGTTGGAAATGCCTTGGGAGCTGGAGACACAGAGAAGGCCAAACTGTCTGCTAAACTGGCAATGTTCTGTGCAGGTCAGTATGCTCTTAAACAATATTTCTATGCTATATGTTAATATCTTATTAAAATTGCATGTATTTGAAGTTCAGAAAATTCTGATTTCACTCAAGAAATTAGTTCAGGAGTAGCTTAGAGGTTAAATATGAGGTGCCCTTGAGCAGGGCATTAAGTTTACAAACTGCTCCAGCAGAACTATTCATTGGCCAACAGAAGGAGACTGTGGTTGTCCTTTGTGCCTTTACAGAAAAGAAAACAATTCAGCACCTTTTACTGCAATTCTGAAACTTTTTGTTACTCTTTACCACAGGTTCAGTCTCTATATGTTTGGCAGCTCTCTTTGGGGGCCTGAAGAACCATATGACTTATGTCTTTACAAATGATGAGTGAGTATATCTTTAACATACGTTTTTGTAACCAAAACTGAAAAAGTGAACTGAAAAAGTTTTTTTCTCAGTGTTTTATGTTAACACGTGTGGATTACATGTTCTTTTGAATATTAACTTGAGGTAGGCTAAATGTTCCTCACAGTTGTCCTCAGTTATGCTGTGTAGCATCACTGTGATTAACGGCAATTTACTGATTCCTCTTTGGTCAATGTTACTAGGAGATTAGAATATGTACAGTTCTCAAATACAACACACACAAATCAAACGATGAGAATGTATTTTCTTATGTCACCTCTCCTACAGTGTCAAATTGTAAATTTTATGTCGCTCTTCTTTCAGACAAATCAGGCATAGGGCTGCTGATGTTATAACTTTTTTTGCTCCAATCATCCTTCTAGATGCAATATCAGTAAGTAAAGCTTCCATTTCATCCAAACAAGATCTCATGATGTTCCCATAAATATTATTGCATTAATTTTTTGTTGAATCTTTTTTCTGTATTCATGATTAGATTACCTCAAGTGGCATTGTAAGAGGAGCAGGTAAACAGAAAATCGGGGCTGTTTGCAGCATTGTGGGATATTATGGAATTGGTTTTCCTACTGGAGTGTCGCTGATGTTTGCAGCCAAATTAGGAATCATAGGTAAGATTTACAGCAGAGATGAATTTTAGCCTTCAGCTGTTTTTTTCAACATTGTTGCCTAACTAGTAAGTTTTAAGTTTTGTGTCCAGTGTCTTTTTAAGTAATCGATCCACCACTGTATCACCATCTTCTTGCTACTCTTAATGGGGCCACCTGTAGTTTTCAGTGGCCTCTAGTTTTGAGGTTTCAGATTGCAACCACTACGAGTGAGCAGTCAGCGTTGGTCAAAACCAAACAGGGACATAACAAGAGGCCAGACACAAAATGCTGCTGAATACTGCAACATTACACTATTATTTTCATCAGCTTTAAGTTGAACTAATCCATATTCATAGGATAGAGGATGTCTCTTACATACCTATATATATTAGATATTTAACAGCAGCAGGCCAACTGATCTGCCACTTAACATCATAATGCGCAAAACCCAACACAACAGTAGATCTACATTATTGGCCTAATATCGGTTCACACACAGGATTATCGCTGTAATAAGAGATGCACACATTACATTTTTCCTGGCTATTTCAAGTTAATGATTTTTTTAAAAGGTCTGACCTGCAGATTCTAATTTTCAGATTTTTTTTTTTATTAATTTCCGATTCTGATTTTATTTCTTCTAAGAACTATAACTGACAGCATACACAAACATTTTTGTAACTATTAATTGGAAAAAAATTTATTAGGATCCCCATCAGCACCAGTATAGATGTTAGCTATTCTCACTGGGGGCTTGTGTGAGACATTTTGAAGGGCAGGGGCTCAAGTGAAAAATAGGGCACTTCTCACATTATTTTTTTTAACCAAATGTTAAATATATTAATACAACTCTGACTTTCTTATTTGAATTCCCTCACACTCGCGCAGTTGTTTCATTCAAAATAATCAGTTCACACAGAGACTATAGTCTTATCACAAGAGAAGGCAACAGCAAAGGAAACTGTCACAATGTGCATGTTTTATATGTTACTAGCTTCAAGTGTATATTTAGAATAAATAACTGCACAAAGGAGAGGGACATTAAAATGAATTGTTTAAATACTCTTTGTTTCACAAGCAAGATCCTTCAGCTTCATGCAGGCAAGCAACTGAATATTGAATTGCCTAAATATATTAAAATATTGATCAAATGCAATATTATTATTATTATTGCTATTATAATTACACTTTCCAGGCACGCGCACACACACACAATATCTGATGGTGACAAGGAATTAGTTTTACATTTGAAAGAGGGCTGTCTGTATCATATAAAGATCTATCAGCAAACAACAAACTAATAGAATGTATGTAGTTATTAGATGAGGAGCCTACGATCAAAATATGAAACTACTGTTTAAGGCAGGAGACTTTTTTCATATAGTGATTCATTTTGAGATTTTTATCAATTTTGCTTCCATGTCTTCTTTTACTCTAATGGAAAGAAGACTTCCAAAATACACATTTATATGGTGTTTGTGGTAAGCCTACTACCCTTCGCCTGTGTGCATCTGTATCAAATTAGTGTATTTTCATTTGTTAACACCTAATTTGCATATCCATGTGGCAATTTTGATGACATTACTAGACACAAATTTTACTGTATTCATCTGTAGTGTCTCCTTTAAGTACAGTACATTAGCCTGTATGGTGATGATATATCGACTTTGCTAAAGTTGAGCCAACTTATTTACATTAGCTAGTAGCTCATGAGTCATGCATGTTAGCAATATTTGTCTTTTGCAACTGACAAAGTCTCATGTCTGACCTGATATTTAGATTTTTTGTTCAATAAATATATAGAAGAGTATGTATTCATTTCAAAAAATAAAAATAAAGCACCCCTGAAAAAGGGGCTTTCTCTGGAGGAAGAAAAACGGCAGGTGCTTGTGCATGTGCCTGCATAGGAGGCAGCGTACAGGTCGTCAAAGGAAACTGGGAAACCCAGCAAATGGTTTACTTTTTATGTGTGGTTACAACCTGTTCACAAAGAAATAGGCAACATAAGTGATTCATTTCAATTAAAAACTACATGTAGCCCTTTAAAAGCAAGATGTAAAACTCTTTATTTTCTACAGGTTGTGGATAGGCTTGTTTACCTGTGTGGCTCTACAGTCCTCATTCCTTATTTTCTACCTTGTAAGAATGAACTGGAAAAAAGCTACGGACGAGGTAAGTATTCAGAGGCAAATCTTCCAATTCTTAATGGCCCCACTCATCTTGATGAATTCACGTTTACATATTGTTTTTCTTCCAGGCTCAACTCAGAGCGGGAGTGTGTGGGAAATCCACCGATGCAAGTAAGAGATTGTGTAACAACTAAAGCATTTTATACTGCTAGAGAAAAATTATACAGTTTAGCACAGGAAATGATAAATTCTTCCTCAGGAGACAGTTTAGACTGTGATAAATGTAGATTAATGGTGGTACATTGAAAAATTATACACGTGGCACCTTTTAAGTCTATGCAAAAGCTAAATATCATTGGGAAGCTCTTCCTTGTTTTTAGAATTCATAGTATACTGTACATTACTTCTGTATTTAATGCAATGTCAGCAGGATTCTGAATGAGGTTTTCTCACTGCTGAAACAGAAGATTGCAATTTAACTTTATCTCTATTAAAGTATAAAACTAACACAATGCTTCAATGCGTTAACTTACAACAGTATACTCAAAGATTACTTTAATGTGAATAACAAATAAAAAAAACACGTCAGCTAGAATCTTTGTTTAATATATTTCAGCAAAAACACTGTCATATGTTGCATTTGTATGTCCAGGTTCCCAACCAGATGATCCAGAAAACTCACAGGGTCAAACAGACACAATTAAAGAAGAGTTCTCTTACAAGAATGTGGTTCTGCGTAGGGGCCTGGCTCTGGCTATCATGCTATTCATCCTGGCTGCTGGAATCATTGTGAACCTGTTGATTGATCTCTAACTTGGTTACATGAACATGAGCTAGGTCTGTGATATGATGTGAGGTAACTCCTTAGCCACAAGTGCACAACATGATGCAGATGTTTGGACAGCAGTATGTTACAGCAGTATGAATTACACATTCATTCACAAGATTTTCCAGTGAATCGCCAGTGTTTGCCAAAGTAGACAGATTTTGACAATCTTTGTGTTTAATACATTAAACAGAAACATTGTGGTTATCATGGACTGTCATGGTCAACCTGAATCTTCATTTGGACCTATTCGCGTCATTTTTGATAAATTTGCTGCAGATTTACACTTCACCATTTCCTGTCAAAGATGATGAGACACAGCTTTCATGGTTATCCTGACTCTGCATTTGGGACCACCACAGTGGAGGGAATTTGATCGGGAATATAGGTAGTATTGATCCTCTCCAAAGTAAAGTTGGCCCCTGAAGGCAGGGTCTCTGGCAAAAGGAAGTGCACACTTGCTCCCACAGCCAGAAGGGCAACTGCTGCAAACATAGTGAGACCTCGCCTGAGGATCAGCTGGGTAGTTGAGAGACGACTATCCTTCAGCTGCTGGACCACAGGTGTATCCTGTGTCTCCATGTTCCCATCATGGTCCTCGGTACTCCCCGACATACAGCCATCCACTGACTTTAAAGAAAAAGCAACATTTTGCCTGTTATTTCATTTTGTCACACTGACAGCAAGCAGTGTCAAAATCAGTCAAAGGGTAGCAAAAATAAGAGCAAACAACCTATTAAACTAAATTTAGATTAATTGTTGAATTGAGTTTAGCAGGCCACTTACACTCACATTAATTGCTGTCTGGTTAGCAGTGTTTTTACATGAAGCATCTGACAGGGCATCTGTGCTTAATAATGTCACGTGAGTGTTTTTCTGTGCTCGGTTCACAGCCTGCAAACAAGCAGATACAAAAATTAAACCAAACCCTCAATTTCTCATATTCTTACATACAACAAATAGCTTTTGAAAGCGCTAACTGATTCTGTAGAAAGTCCAAATTCTGTGGCCCTGCTTAGCATACCTCCTCTGTCATTCTCTCCCAGTTGAGGTTGAAGATGACAATTATGTAGAAGGAAGACTGCAAAATGACACAAACGAGCAGTCCCAGCCAAAAACCTGCAAAGAAAAAGACAAATTAGTCTGTCAAAAAAACAACCCTGCTTTTTGGAAATGTCAAGGTCACTTCCTGCAATTACCTAAAACTCTCAGTTTTGCAACAAACATGAAAGTAATGCTTAGTGAAAGTCCTATGCCATAGTATCCAATGAGATTGGCCACAGCTGGTATCTTCTGTTTGCCTGTGCCCAAGAAGATGCCGGTGCATACACACTAGGATGTAAACAGACAAATCTCTAATTATTATGCGATCTCACTCCATTGGCCACCATTTGGTAACATCTGAATAGATATAAAATGTAAATATATTTGTTGTAGGAACCAAAAAACACATAAGACTCACCACAAGACCATCAAAGAACTGAAGGAAACAGTAAGCATTCATCAAGTGTGAGACCAGACCTATGATGTTCCTGAAATAGGGTTTTATAATTAAGATCTATTTTTCTTGGATAATATTTTTATGTAGCAATAGTACCTTAACAATCAGAGTATTACAGTAATTGAAATGTATTTGCAGCTGTAGGGACTCACTCATCAGAGGTGAAGATGAAGCCAATCACTGTTTTAGTTAAGCCAAGCACAAGACCTTCAATAATCGCAATGCTACCTGGAAAAAGAGGAGCTGTGAACTCTGTTAAAGAATTCATGTAAACCACAATACTAGAAAACATTTCTAACTGACCTGCAAGAGTGAGGGATATCTTGCTGGTGAGGATCGCCCTGGCAGTGTCTCCTGCACCAAGGGCATTACCCACTCGGGCACATGCTGCAGCTTGAATACCAAGAGGAAACTATGGATTCATCATTTAAAAAAACTTATGAGAAAGAGTTGGCTCCTGAGTTCAAATATGTTTAGTGAAATGTTCTAAAGTGAGAATGTAACTCTGTGACTTGCAGTTAGTACCATGTAGGTTATGAAAGCCACCATTATCACAGCATGTTGGGCTGCTAGCTCATTTTCACTCAGCATTCCTGATCATGAGAGTCAAAGAAGAGAAAGAGTCGTGACTCAAAGTTTGTAACTGGTTCAAAGAAATCAAATGGCTTACCAATATCTAATATTTGGATTACCTGCAAAGAAACCACCAAACTCATAAACCCACCACTCAAAGCACTTCATTAATGTGCTGGGAATGGCCAGTTTCATGAAGGAGCCCCATTCCTGAAGTGATTCTACAGACCAGCCTGTAGGGGGAGAGAGCAACTTGTAGAGGGAAAAACTTTGTGATGAACAAAGTGGTCCATGAGATCACAAGGTCACCAAAAACATCTACTAAATATAACTGTCCCTCACCTCCCCATGTTGTTACATGGAGCTTCTTCCACCAAATGTAAGCAAACAGAAAAGCACAGATGTAAATCTGAGACAGGGTATTGGCTGCTGCAGATCCACTGTAAGACATGCACACAGACATGTTAATATTTGTGGAGGCAATAGTTTTATTCAGATTTAAAATGCTATACTGAGACGTGTGAGCACACCTACCTAACACCCAGATCCAGCCAGTAAATAAAGATGTAATTTGTCACCACATTTGCTATGTTTGCCATGGCAGCAGAGTACATTTGTGGAAGTATTATACCCTGAGTACACAAATACCAGGCAATGTGATTACCACCACGTACACATTTGCCTACAGAAATCAAATTAGATTTAATAAGATTTTCAACATTCATATACACTGAAATGAGATGATACATAATGAGATGAACATAGAGAATTGGACTTGGGTTTAGGACAGCAATGCTGTACCTGGTTCTGTAGGTAAGACACCTGAAGATGATGTAGAAACATTGCCTGCAGAGAAAGATCATTCATAAAAGGTGTTTATAATTTACTCAACAGTGTATTGTGCAGAAGAACTGCAAAATAACACTGAAAATGTGTTGACGTTTCGCTTAAAGAAAAGTCACAACTCACCGGTACTGCAGGAAGGAAGCCTGTAATATACAGCTGGGCTATTCTGAAATCAAGATTCTGTATTCAGTTCAATTTATAGACAAATAAGCACTTGTCAATATATACACTGTTCAACATCATTTGTTCAATCAATTATTTTCACTGGCACTCAGAAGCAGAGAAATATGGAATATGTCCTGAGAAACGTTTTTAACCGAGTTTAAGCTGCATTAATCAGTATTTGTTAAAATGTAATCAAATGACAATGAGTAATTTGAATGTCCTTTTAGTGAAGAACTCACAGTGAATTGCTGACTCTGTAGCTCTACAGTTTAACTGCTCTTGTCAACCATATATCCTGCAGTACCATTCTTGCTCAAAACCAAACATAAAGTTAGTGAGTGTGTGTGTGTGTGTGTGTGTGTGTATTTATGTTTTGTATTTACCTGCACAGTGTGTAATATTTTCTATGAAGGCACATTAAATAATAAAAAACGCTAGAGCACAATTAGTACAGTATATGTGATATTGATTTTATACCATTGGTAGAGGTCATTTGGTCAATATTTGGAATACAGATTTTCTGTTTTTGCTGAATCTGATCAATAATCTGTGGGGACCAGATTTGATTTTAATGCCAAGGTGGTGTTTGTTAAAGTTGAGAGCAGGATGTCTCACGTTCTCACTGATGACTATTCAAACTTGCCCATATCACTAGTGGTAGCAATAGCATTTTTGCATGTTTGTTGCGGTTAGTTACCTGGTCACCTCAGGGTCTTGACCCAGGCATAACAGGATGGCCTGAGCATTAATGAGGAGGCCCCAGCAGGGCAGACAGAACATCAACAGGATGATGATGCTCCGCTGAAGGATCACTCCCACCCTCAGCAGGTTCTTACCACCAAATGTCTGTACAACATAATTAACAATTTAGAACGAGTGGTGAAATAAACAGTAAACAGTAAAATTCCAATGTATTACATCATCATATCAAAAGGGTTTTTCACACCTGAGATACTAAAGTATCACATGCCAGTCCGAGACCATATCCTGTTGCTGCAGTGGTAACATTAATGGTCTGAAATGAATATGAAACATACTTGAATGAGTCTGACGTAAACTTAAGGACTCTGTAACCAATATTTCTGACACGAGTAAATGTACTATATCATCAGAAGTCTGTCATAGGTGATTGTGAGAGAATTGTAAAAGCTATCATTGGAAGGTGAGTTTGTAGCTGTAATATTTCATTCATTCTCAACCCGTCACTTCCTCATGTTAGCCTCCACAACTCTGTGGAGCATACAGATGACCACTTACAGCAGAAGCTAATCCATAGCCAGCCATCTCTTCATTTCCCAGACGCCCACAGAACATTGTAACCACAAATGGAAGCAAGTAATTCAGGATTCGAGAGAGCAGCTAGAAAGACAAACACTGACAATGGTGTAGTTGATACAGCTACCAGCTCACAGATTATACATAGTGCATTACAGTAAACACAAGTTGTAATTAACTATCATGGTACTCATCTTGGCAAATGAGCCACCACACTGTCATCACTTTGGCCTGTTGCAGCCACTGTTTGAAACCTGCCAAACACAGTTTTAAGCCCATTGATTTTTGCCTCTAAGTCTAATACAGAAAATCCTGTTTTCCTGACATCTTAACCTTTTCTTTGGCAAAGAAACACAGTCATCAATCTTTTGTTGTATAAATCAGCTTTTCAGCAAGGACAGCCTCAATCTACACAGTCCCATACAGACAGACAAGGGTATGTAAACAGCACGAGTCCTTACCAGAGGCCCTGTCATCCTCAGGATGTGGTACAGTTCCTCTCTGTGGGCCAGGGGAACCCTATGGCACACCCACCTGCAGCAGAAAAGCTTGTCACTAGACCCCTCCATGTGTGCAGAATGAGATGCCAATGCAGGTCCTTCCACTGAAGTGTTCGTCTTGTCTCTCATGAACTTATCTTAGTTTCTCTCCAGGATGTTGGAAAGGATGGAAATCTTGCTGTGGTCACAGCTGCTCTGGAAGCAAGCCAAGGCCAGCTGAAACAAGACAGAATGTGAAAAACAAGAAAAAGGCCAGCAATCACAACAAAGACTAAGACAGTGGACTTGAAAGCAAGAATGTTTTGATCTTCACTGGTTAAACATGTAAAATACAATTCACTACTTCTAGTTCTGGTTGTTGAAGATAATTCTCCTGGATGAACATTATCAGGTCTTTCATCACTCCAAAGCTAAAACAAGTTTTAATGATCTAATATTGAATTTATAAAATAGAAAGATTAAGAAAAATTTAATCTGGATTTTTAAAAAATTATGATAGTTTCAGTAGAGTGGATAGTGAATATTAAATAAATGTATTATATGGAGACGCTGACTTTGAGACTGTACATTAGGCAAAATTTTGATTCTACCTGAACATGAATAGTAGAAAGAGGAAGAATAATTGGTCCACCCTGCCGCGTATGTATAGTTTTCCTTGCCCTGGGTCTTTCTACAACACCAATTCTCTCTTGAATTACAACTGTGCTGAAGTGGTCCCCATTTCTTTTACTCCATTTAACTTTTTCCTGGATGACTAGATAACATGACATTTTTATTTATTATTACTTTTGTCAGTTTCAAGTTATTTCAGAGACCATAGTGGTTTTTTTTTTCTTTAACGGAATGGTACCAACAATTTTGTCCATGTCTGTACAGTAAACCCATGCTTATTATGTATACACTTCTGTATTGCCTCTGGTGACCTGGTCAGTTCTGTTACTTTATTCTATTTATTTGGTGTTTTAAGATTTTATTAAATGGCAAAACAAGTAAAGTTTAAAAAAGGAATGTTTTTGAAATTTTGCAACGCATAAGCACATTTTCTAACAGTTAATGTATACTTAACTTACTTATTTTTGAATTCTGTTACTAATCTGCTAGTATTATACTTCTCTGGGTATTAATGTAACAGTTTGTTAAATGTGTACTTTTTGTAGTGTGTGAGGCCGATTTTTCTTCCTCTCTTCACCCAGAACTCTGCTAAACTCTAACTTAAACTATGTAAATTGCATTCAAGTACTTACAGTACAGCAACTGTAAGTAAAATATACGTAATATATAATATATAACAAATATATAAATATAGTTGTTTCGTTTTATTCCCAATGGTAGACAACCACTGAATACAAAAGCACATTTCTACATAAGCAAAGTTTTTAATGAGCCAGGACCTGTATTCATCAAAGTTCTGAGTTACATTTGAGAATAAGCAAAACCATTTATCAATATATATATATGCAGCTATATATATATAGCTGCATTTCGGATGGATATGACACAAGTGCAGATGAGAAAAAATCAGAGAGAACAAAAATAATAAAAAAATTGTTTTAACCATTAATTCACTTAATTTTTTTTAATCAAATTTGTCACAGTTTTTCACTCTCAGCCATGTCCTCTCAAAAATAATGAGTCCATGAGAGTCATGATATTGAGCACAAACTATGATTTTATGATAAAGCCTCTCAAGGTTATTCTTCTATTGGGACCAGCATAGTGGACAAAATATGATCAGGAGTATATGTAGTATTGATCCTCTCCAAAATAAAGTTGGCCTCTGAAGGCAGGATCTCTGGCAAGGGCACGATGAAGTGCACACTTGCTCCCACTGCCAGAAGGGCAACTGCTGCAAACATAGTGAGGCCACGCCTGAGGATCAGCTGGGTAGTAGAGAGATGGCCACTCTTTAGCTGGACCACATGTCCAACCTGTGTCTCCGTGTTTCCATCATGGTCATTGGTACTCACAGACCTGTAGCCATCCACTGACTTGAAGGGAAAAAAACATCTTAGTACATTATTTTGTAATGTCATATGAAAAGAAAGCGCAGTAACACTTAAAAGGAAAGTTGTCAAATATAGTGTTTTCAATTGCATAGAAAACAAAATAGAAAAGTTCATTGATAACCGTGTGAAACAAGCTATAAAATGTCATTCAGGTTGTTAGTGTTAAGAATAACAGGCCACTTACACCCCCATTTCTTGCTGACTGTCCAGCAGTGTTGTTACCGGCAGTAACTGAAGGGGCAGCTGTGCTTAATAATGTCATCTGTGTCTTTTTCTGAGCTCGTTTCACAGCCTGCAAAGAAGCAGATACAAAAACCTAACTGCCAAATTTTCCTTGTTCACAAACTTAACAAATAGTTATTGAAATTTGCAAGATTTCTCTCAGTAATGTAGAAATAAAAATAACATTCTGTCAGTGTATCTAAAGAGTTGAGGCCCTGCATGATCAGGGTTATTAGATTAGCCAGTATTATACCTCCTCTGTCATTCTCTTCCAGTTAAGCTTGAAAATGACAATGATGTAAAAGGTGGATTGTAAGACGACACAAATGAGCAGTCCCAGCCAAAAACCTGCAGAGAAAAAGACAAATTAGTCTGTCATGGGCACAGCAGGTTTCACATACATTATAATAACCTGATGTTGTTATGCACTTGTTTGTCTTTAATGTCTGTGGAAGTAAAAAAAAACATTGTCACTTCATATAATTACCCAAAACTCTCAGTTTTGCAACAAACATTAAAGTAACACTCAGTGAAAGTCCTATGCCGTAGTATCCAATGAAATTGGCCACAGCTGGTATCTTCTGTTTGCCCGTGCCCAAGAAGATGCCCGTGCATACACACTAGGATGGGGGGAAAGAAATTTTTTTATTTGACATATATGACTTACTTTTGGCATCACGCTACTAATATATTTTGCTGTGTACACAAGAAAGGCTGGTAGACTCACAACAAGACCATCGAAGAACTGAAGGAAACAGTAAGCATTCATCAAATGGGAGACCAGACCTATGATCTTTCTGAAATGATAGTTAAAATTGTGTCTTTGTGTGTAGCAGTTGTATTCTAACAACTATAGCATCCAGTTATTAAAATGTGTTTGCATCCACAGAGACTCACTCATCAGAGGTAAAGATGAAGCCAATCATTGTTTTAGTAGAGCCAAGCACGAGACCTTCAACAACTGCAAAGATACCTGAAAAAGAGGAGCTGTGAACTCAAACAGTAGAAAATGTTGCACATCAAATGCTGATTTATTAATATAAGCTACAACAACAGAACGTGTTTCAAACTGACCTGCAAGAGCAAGTGACATCTTGCTGGTAAGGATCGCCCTGGCAGTGTCTCCTGCACCGAGAGCATTTCCCACACGGGCACATGCTGCAGCTTGAATACCAAGAGGGAACTATGGATTGATTCATTCATTTGCAAAAAAAAATATGAAAATAACTACATTCAGGAATCAGAAAGTATGAACACTGATGTACAAAAGAGCTTTGTCTTGAGTGAGTGTTCGAATACTAAACCACAGCTTAGGCAAAAAAAATATTTATTAACTAAATTTGAGGACATGTTTGTGGGAAGAAAGTGAGAATGTGACACTGTGACTTTCATTTACCATGTAGGTTATGAAAGCCACCATTATCACAGCATGTTGGGCGGCCAGCTCGTCTTCACTTAGCATACCTGATCATGAGAAAAAAACAAGAGAAAGAGTCGCGACTCAAAGTTTGCATCACAATTTTACCAATATTAGATTTAGCAATATCTAATATTTGGATTACCTGCAAAGAATCCACCAAATTCATAAACCCACCACTCGAAACATGTCATTAATGTGCTGGGAATGGCAAGTTTCATGTAAGAGCCCCACTCCTGCAGTGATTCTACAGACCAGCCTGCAGGGGGAGAAAGCAACTTATTTATGTATTCTGAAAAAGATGGAGGATGAGCAAAGTGATGCATGAAAGCATAGGGAAAGCATGCATATGAAATCCCTCACCTCCCCATGTTGTTACATGGAGCTTCTTCCACCAAATGTAAGCAAACAGAAAAGCACAGATGTAAATCTGAGACAGGGTATTGGCTGCTGCAGATCCACTGCAAGACATGCATACAGATATGTTGATATCCATGGGGCAATAGTTTTATTCAGATTTAAAATGTTATACTGAGACGTGTGAGCACACCTACCTAACACCCAGATCCAGCCAGTAAATAAAGATGTAATTTGTCAACACATTTGCTATGTTTGCCATAGCAGCAGTGTACAACTGTGGCAGTATTATACCCTGTGTACACAAACACCAGATGATGCAATGAGTACCACTTATACAGTACATTTCCCCTCAGAAATGTAATTATATTAATTTACACAACATATTCTTGTGCTCTGAAATAAGGACATTAGTGCACCTGGTTCTGCAGATAAGACACCTGAAGCTGATGTAGAAACATTGCCTAAAAGACAAAAACATTGACATTATTGTTCCGTGGGGAAGGAGTTTTTTCTAAACGTCACTGAAAATATATTAATTTTGCACATAAAGGTGAGAGGAATGGTCACAACTCACTGGTACAGCTGGAAAGAAAGCTGTAATATACAGCTGGGCTATTCTGAAATCAAGAAGCTGTATTTAGATCCAAGGGAATGATTGTTTAAGGTGATATATACTGTTCATTGTTGTATAAGTTCAAGCTCATTCATTTACACTGCCACTCAAACATTTATCCATGGCAAGAAAAATTTACCTCCCAGGAGAAATGATATTAAGAAGTTACTATATGTAGACTTAGCAAACCTGGAGAAGCATGCTAAAATGGAGGTATGAGGCTACATTAAATAATTCAAGAGAGGTGTGAGTGTGCAGCCACTTTTCTATGATGAAATAGCCTTTACAAATAATAGGTTATTTGATCAATATTTGGAATACACATAATCTGTTTATGCTGGACCAGAACTGATCTCAATGCAGAGGTGGTGTTTGTTACCGCTGAGAGGATCTGTGTTGACTGAATCCCACTGACAGAGGCATTGTGTTTTACATGCATGCTTGGTGCAGTTAGTTACCTGGTCACCTCAGGGTCCTGGCCCATGCATAACAGGATGGCCTGAGCATTAATAAGGAGGCCCCAGCAGGGCAGACAGAACATCAGCAGGATAATGATGCTCCGCTGAAGGATCACTCCAACACGCAGCAGATTCTTACCACCAAATGTCTGCACAACAGCACAGACAACGTTAATCATTTTAGAAAAGGGAAATGAACAGTTGGTATCTGGAGTCAGTGAAATTGATGATTAGGGCAAAAAAGGCCTACAGCAAAGGGTTTTCCAAACCTGAGATACTAAAGTATCACATGGCAGTCCTAGACCACAACCTGTTGCTGCAGTGGTAACATTAATGACCTGAAATCAATATGAAACATAATTGTCAGTCTGATGCACACTTAAGGACGCTGATGTAACCAATACTTCTTTGATTCATACTAGATATTGATTAAATCATCAGGCTATAATGGGATTGTGAGTTTATAGCTGTAATATTTCCTTTTCTCCTTTAAAATTTACATCTCCGCTTGTAATTTCCTCATGTTAGCCTACACAACTCTGTGGAGCATACAGATGACCACTTACAGCAGATGCTAATCCATAGCCCGCCATTACTTCATTTCCCAGACGCCCACAGAACATTGTAACCACAAATGGAAGCAAGTAATTCAGGATTCGAGAGAGCAGCTAGAAAGACAAACATCGACAATGGTGCAGTTGATACAGCTACCAGCTCAAAGATTATACATTGTTACATTACAGTAAACACAAGTTGCAATTAATTAGCATGGCTCTCTTTGCAAATGAGCTATCACACTGTCATTACTTTGGCAGGTTATAGCCAATGTTCAGTCACTGTTTGAAATCTGGCAAACACTGCTTTGGGTTGACTGATAGTTGCTTATAAAACTCAGACACAGAGCCAATATTTCCTGACATTTTAAACAAAACACTCTTGTCAATCTCCCATTGTATAAATCCACTTATTATAAAGGACAGCCTCAATCCACAGACAGCAACAGCGCGAGTCCTTACCAGAGGCCCTGTCATCCTCAGGATGTGGTACAGTTCCTCTCTGTGGGCCAGGGGAAACCTCTGGCGCACCCACCTGCAGCAGAAAAGCTTGTCACTAGACCCTTCCATGTCTTCAGGATCAAATGCTAATGCAGGTTCTCCACTGAAGTGTCAGTCCATCTGTGTTCTGTTCTCTCCACGGAGATAATTCACCACTGTTGTGTTAAGTATTTCAACACCTTAAAAGGTTACTAATTAATTTACTCAAGGTTAGTTTCACAAATTGTTCAGGTTTGACATTGTTGCAAAAAAAAAATCTCACTATGTAAACCAATATTATATAGTAGACCTTTCTGTAACACGGTACAGAGTCCATCTTATGAGTCACTATTTAATGCTATGTTTTCTAGGTAGATACTGTACCAGAGGTGAACATAAATGTCATCTCCAATTTCATTTCAAACTCAAATACAGTTAAAATTAATTTTTGCATTCATTGCATTCACTGAGTGAATGATTATATGGTCAAAAGTTGCCACAGTAGGAAGCCTACTAAATAACCATAACTTTGTTCTACCTCTGTGTTGTCGGATATAATATGTGAACGGACAGAAGGTGTGAAGTCATGATTATTCATGAACATCTTCTGCATATTAATGACTGCACAGGTTTCCTTTGAAGAAGTTAAATCAATCCAAGTCCCCATCAATCTAGGCAGACAGCTTCATTAAAGTGTTTGGGAATATAAAACATTAACATGTCATACAGTTCAGTGTCCTCCTGGAGAGCAGTAAAGGTTAACCAGTCAGTGCGCTGGCAACATCTAAAATGAGACGCATCCCTCAGCGACTATCCAGCAGAAAACCCATTCAGCTAGCCATCTGTAGCAGAGTGATAACTTATATCTGTGCAAGCCAGCTTCCTCTTTTATGGATAGAAAACATATTTGCACATAAGACCTGTGTTTGCCTCAAAAGCTGGAGTATACATTTATGCAGACATAAATTTCACACTTTCAGCTGACTTGAAAAATATCTTGACAAACCTTCTAGCAGTGCTGCCTCAAAGATGATATCTTAACAAATATGATTTCAACACTAAGCTATAAGTGATTACGTGTTTGGTGAATTCAGCTTTCCTCATAGACAGGGAGATGATTCAGTTCATCTGTATGGTGCATCCATGTTTTCCACTGGATGGAGCAGGAGTTCAATACAAGACAGTTTTTCCATAAACTCATACCATTGTAGTGGTGTACAATGTTACACTTAGACACAGAGACTGCTAAAACATATATGCACACAGTTTGCCTCACATCATTGCCCACAAGTTGTACCTCTATGTCTCTGACCCCCTCTCTGTCAAAGCAGAATTGATGGTGTGGATATGATACCAAAGAATAAGCAGCCTAACTTTTCCCATGTGTTTTGGCAAAATTCTGTTGCAATAGGTTCCATAGAAAAAAAACATATATGTGAATGTTGACATCCTGTGAGCTCTCACAGCTAGAAGGTTTAGTATTTGGATTCTCTCAGTTCTATCAGGTAACCCACAAGTACAAATGGCAGTTCTAGTCTCATAATAGAGAAGAAACTGTGAAGGATATATATATATGCATCCTAGCATATCTAATATCATAATATGCTCTAAAATATGGGTTTCATGCATAAAAAGGCATAACAATATTTTAAGAAGAAATTTAATTGTTTGCACCAAAATTGAATGAGGGGGAGCTCATTAAAAAGCCAGATTATTTTTCAGAAGGAGAAGGTTAAATTAACAAAATTAAGATTATTAATATCTGATATAATATCTGACCTCACCACAGGAAAGGTGAGTGAGTTCTAGCTCTAAATGCATTGTGGCATTTCTGTTCATTCTGTATGCCCTCTTAGAGGCTTTAATTCTCAGTTTGAGAGGCAATGAGCCCCCCTAAGTGTGACAACCCAAAGCCCTCTAGGCTTTATGTTGGCTAAAACAATCAGACTGTTGGAATGAGTGCCTTGGATACTATGTGTTGCAGCGGCAGTGATTTGTATCTGTCACTTGCTATTTTCCCTAACAGTGCTCTTGGCTTTGTGTTGCGGAGTTGCTGAGTCCACTTTTGTCTCTCACCTCCACTGTCTCTGCCCATCCAAACCTTTTATCAAAAACACTGTTTGTTAATTAAGGCATGTTCATTTTCAATCTTGACATGACATGTACATTTTACTGAGCATACAGTAATGCCAAGTAAACCTTAATAACCCTACATGTGCTAATTTAGCATATGGGTCCAGTAATTCTAATGGTAAACAACACTAAGAGTTTACAGCCAAGCTAGTGACGTGTCACCATCCTAGCATACTCACAATGACAATGCTAATGCTGATATTTAGCAGGTATACCATGTCCACTGTCTTACTTTACCTTATGTGTTATCATGCTAATTAGCACTACACAAACTACAGCTTGTGGGAATGCTGTTAGCCTTCTTTTGCAGGTATTTGGTCATAAACTAAAGTATTTGACAAATTAAAGTTTTGATGTGATGATAGCACTATATGAGTATTATTGAGGTTAGTTCATATAAACACAATAGAAAGCAAGTCTTTTATGTTTGCAAAGAGAGAGCGAGGTCTTCCTTTTACTGAAGATTTCACTTTTACTACTGCCACACTACTGCCACAAAACTTTAACTTTTTTTTTTGATTACCATGATTTTTCTGGCGATATTTCACCACCATCAAAGTTTATTTGTATTTTTTCCAGCAGTGAGCAGCTCCTTCATTTCCTTTGTGCATTGCATTGTGGAGTAATTTACATCAACAGCACACTCAAAAATCACTTTTTCACTGTGAACGCACCAAAGCCTTTCATAACACTATTCCATTGATTTACAGGATGCACCAAGAAATCAGCAATGTGCAACCAAAGGCAGTGAAGAAGAAGACTGCTACCAGGTAAACACGGATAGTTTAAAAGTGTTCAAAAAAGAAATCGACTTTTATGAGGAAAGAAATGCATTTGATAGTTTGTTTAAGAAGATCCTCAGTCTAAATTGTAGTTTGTACTTTCTGTTTAAGATTTAAGTTTGAATGAAATAGACTGTGGTGCAACAGCAATTGGTGAGATGTACCAAACCGTTTGATAAATCTGAACTCTATGAGCTAATTGCATTTAATCGGCATCTGCGTTTATAACAGCAGATATATGTCTATTGATAAAGACACAGAGAGACAGATCCTTCACTCATGTCATAAGTGTTGCATAGTTTGTGTCGGAAATGATTAAACCAGAGCAGACATGTAAATAAACATGAGCTGAACAAGAATCTAACACGGCTTCCTGTAACTCCTTTTTGTGTTGTGTTGATGTTAAAGGCTGTAGTCAGAGCTATAACAACTCTGGTTATAGTTACAACGTTAGTTAAATGAAATCTCAAAGTTGCAAGTCCTCGTTGTAGACAGTCATGTAGTATTAGATGCATTCAACAGTAGGTCACTGTAACGTTATCGTAGACGGCATGTTTTAGAGCCAGCTGGTGCTTGAGAAATTGTTTCTCATAGCTTTGGATGTTATTAATGAGTGCTGGTACAGGCATAAACTAGATGTGAAAATGCTACATTAAATGTAGTTATAAAGGAAGATTATTATTATGTCAGGACTCAGAGGGGAACCCAGAAGCAGATCGGACAAGTGATAGTTAAGTGGGTAAATTGTGCAAAGGGGGTGCTGGCAGGCAAGAGTGGGGGTCCAGAGGTGGGGGGAGATCCAGAGGGTGGCCAGCTGACAAGCCTGGAGAGTGGAGGTCCACACATTGTCTTACGGGAGGCGTGAGCAGAGTGGGTTGAGTTCTGGGACTGACTTTCCAGGGCTGATCTCCAGAGGATTCCTGAGACAGAGAGACAGAGTTAGTTGTGGGCATCAACAGACAAAAAGCGAATAGCAGGCAGGCAGAAACAGGCAACTAAGCTCAAAAACTGTCTGGAAAGTGGTAGCATACATGACACTTCACAACAATCCGGCAGTGACCAGATGTGTGGCTGCTCATTAAATACTGCTGGATAGATGAGGACGCTGGTGCGGTGACGACCCACGCAGGTGTGTGAGTAGACAGAGAAAGGCCCCCCCCCCCGAACCCAGCCAAGAAAGTGACACAAAACACCACGAGACAAGACAAAAACAGAACAAGCACCCAGCACGCAAATCCCAGACCAAAACAAACACTCAAACAATCATCACGGCCCATCTGTTTACAGTTGCACCTTCCTGCATCAAATATTTAATAATGTGCATTTGTTTACACGTTAAGATGTTGAGACTGTAATCAATTTAATTAACATAATCCATTTAGGAAAAGGTATTATAGCCCACATACAGAGCAGCTTTCAATATCAGACTTTTCTAAGTGTAGTTTGGACAGGAAAGGGGTCTACTATCCAAATAATTTTGTTTGTTTGTTTGTTTGTTTTATTTGGATACCCATTAGCTTCAGCATAAGCTAAAAGATATTCTTCCTGGGGTCCTCCAATCTTCCATGTGAAAATACAATTTATTACATCACATTACACACTATACGCACAGGACATTACACAACATTTAAATACATATTGTACAATTAATGGCATTAATCACCAAAATAATAAAAAATAATAAAACATAATTAAAATAAAATGTCGCTCCTCCGAATAGATCTATATCAAAGAATAAGCTAACTAAGACCCTACAACAGAATCTCTTTAAATTAAATTAATATTAACTATCTAAATTTCTTTGAAGGTAATATTTCTTAAGTGAAGTTTTAAAACCATACAGAGTGTTTTGTTGTTTGATAGTATTTTAATTTTCAAAATCAAAATATCGGCTCATAAATCAGCTCTTTCAATATCATCATCAGCATCGGCCCCCAAAAACCCATAGTGGTCAGGCTCTACTACAAACTTTTTAAAAGTAGAAATTAGTCACTACAAATATTTTTCAAATCACATCATAATTTTATAATATATATAAATATATATATAATGTAATTTCTACTGATCAAAACATTTATTTGAAATCAAATTTATGTATCAGATATTTTATTGAAGCACAGTAGCACAGTTTGGTCTTTATATTCAGCCACATACTGTACTTCAGACCATCAGTTTCTTTTTTTGAGTTACCCCACAAGGTCTGTGACTGTTTTTGCTAACACTGTGCTGTCATTCCCTGTGTATGCAAATCCATCTGTGACACTAACACTGGAGGAGAGGAAAACAATTGAACATACTGTTGACCTCTACACTGTGTTCACTGTAATATTCTGTCCATTTACAATAGTGATCTGAGCTATCTGCAGAAACTTATTTATTACTATGTTAAAAGTAAGATATCCATGAGACACAGAAAAGTGGGTATTTTAGGCATACCCTTGTAATGATGCTTCCTAGACTCAACCAACTCATTTCAAAGTTAAAAATTTATCTGCTATGTTTATGGTCTAATCAGGGCTGAACATTATTTGAGATACACCATTTCATTTTAATCCTGCTTCTTCCCAAAAAGCTGTTTAACTTGAAAAGCTACATGCCTGTGGATTCATGATGGAAAAATAGATCAAGAGCTTGATCATTCTTTGACAATTTATTCCACTGATGATACATATTTGAATGAATAAGACCTCTGAGGAGGCACATGCCTGTTGTTTATTCATTTGGTTCTCCTAATTCTCCTCCTAATTATTCACTCTCATTCTGTCTTTCACAATGCTTGACTTGAAATGAAATACCAAAGCAGACAAAAAGAAATGTAACATAACTGTAAAGCTAACCCGAGGAGAATCCTGTGTTTTACGGTCATGAGACATCTTGCTTGGAGATACCAAACAGACAAAACAAATCATGCTACTAGTTTACCTTTAACACATGACCAGGAAATACCCTTAACCATCCCTTTTAAGTGCATTCAGACCATTAAGTTCAGTTAAATGTTGACAACTTTGGATAATGATGGCAGTGAAAGATGTGAGCTTTGCTATGAAGGGACACAGCCTGTCACATCTGATGCCACTGTGAGCAGTGATATGTGGCTCCAGCATCTGACCCTCTCTTCCTGGGGGCATGTTAAGTAATTGCTTTCTCAAATGCAATATACAGATTGTTTCCCCATGAAAGTGTTGTAAGGCAGCGGATTTTCCAAATTCTTCATAATTTCTTGTGACCCACATCTGAATTCAAAGACTATGATGCAGGCTAATATAACAGGATTTTGTACACATCCAAGCAACCAAGCTTCAAATGCTGTGACCTCCTAGACTATTTTAAAACCTATTTTTAATCTTGCTGCAGTGCACCCCCCTGGTCATTTCCTAGACTGATAAACTGCATTATGGCTCACAACCAATCAGAAATGTAAAGCTGCAGCAACTACTTAAAGCTTAAAGATTTTAAAGTGAAATTAATCCAAGACCAATTTCAACATATTAAGATGTAATATTAAACCAGGCCTGATCTGAACACTGGAGTTTTGCTATTCCAAATGGCAAGAGCTACAAACGTTTGTCTATGTCTCTCCTTGCTGACCACAGGAATGTGCTTTGGTTAAGAATGTGTGCAGTGTGATTACCCTATCGGAGGCTATGTCTGTTGTGTAGAAATCAGGCTGCCTGACGCCAAGAAATATCTCTCTCTGTATCTCTTTCTCTGGGCTGTTTTGGACTGTTGATTCATTCAGATTTTAATGCATTCCTTATCACAGCCCTGGCATCCAGATATCACCTGCCAGATCACACGACAAATTAAACCCCAGTCTTCTGTTTTGGAATAACAATAAGGCTGATTCAGTGGTGCTGCTGCTGAGCAGTGCTGGAGGTCATGGTGAGTGTTAAGTTGCTGCTAGGTAACTGACTTGTTTTGTATTGCAGAGCCTAAACTGCATGAACTTATGACGCAAGCATTACGTTGTACAGTTTTAACAGTATTCCAGATTCTACATGTGTTCTGTTAAATAGAGAGCACTTTACCTAATGCAACATAGCCTATGAAAAAAGTGTTATCAGTGATCTTCAGAATATCCTTGAGTGTAGCTGCAGCATGCTATACTTTGCATGACTACGCCCTGTTCCTGCAGCACACTGAGGAAGCCTCAATGTAAAAGCATTATCTAACTAACTAAAAGACAAACATCCCTGCAATAGGACCAGGTCCATACATATTTAATAAGATTCAGACCTTGTGACCTGAAAAAGTCTCAGATATCCATATTGAGAAGCCTTATAAAAGAGGGTGGTTCTGTTCTTTTTTTAAAGGTGACTGAGAAAATAGTTAGTAACAGCTAGTGATGTAAAGGGTTTTTTTCACATGTGGTTCTCTTGTTACTCAAGTACAGAGTTGATTAGTGAAGTAGCGACACTCTTACAAAGTACACTCTTACTAAATACTCTTAAAGGAAACTTGCCTTGATTTAAGACAATGATCAGCTGAAGTGAGTTATGGGAAAAAACAAATTACTAGAGGAGGAAATAAAGAAGGTGGATTTTTAACACTGATTTTTTCTGTGCAAACAAGCATCACAACAGGGAGAAAAGGGACACAAATTAAGAGGACTGTGAGCCAGAAGCAACTGCATAGTATTTATCACTTAAATCACGCTTTCACTGTGGTTGACTTTAACTATCTTTAGTGTGAATCATGAAGCTGGCAGTATCGGAAACAAAAAGAAACTCCTTCTTTTTGCAGGGGAGCAATTTCTTGCCTGTTTTCCCAGACCATATGTTACTAATGATGTGTAAATGTGGCTTGGAGAAGTATATTCTCATTATAGCAGATGTCTAATGTAGGATAAAACACTGTATGCAGATCCAAGATAGAGGTCATTGTCCTCGTCACCTTTACATTGATCAAAGCAATCCACCAATTTGATAAAATTACTTATGTGCTTATGTGTTATTTATAATGATCTACAGCAACCATTTTGTAATGGTAGCATAGGATTGATTGAACATCTAATGGTTGTTGTCATAGAAATGTACAGTGAACATGAATAATTAGGTTACTTTATTGCATTGAATTGCATTGTAAATTTACTGTACTTGTACAGCTTTTCTAGTCTTCCGACCACAAAACACTACGTCACATTCACCCCATTCACACACAGTGTGTAGCAGTGACTACCATGCAAGTTGCATCATGCTAATCATTAATCATTCACACACAGTGCGGTTCAGTCTCTTGCCCAGTGCCACTTCAACATGCAGACTGGAGGAGTCTGGGAGCAAACCGTCGATCTTTTTATTAGTAGGTGAGCCATGCAACTTAATTTGTTTAATGCTTTGATTTTTGACTAAATATCTGCAAAACTATTGGCATTCCCAACAACTTCAGCCGTACATTATGTCTAGTGCTTTAGTGTTAGAATTAACTATAACTAAAACTAAGATGGTAATCATGGCAAACATCATACCAGGTACACATCAGCATGTTAACATTGTCATATGGACGTCAGCAAAGCTCCACTGGCCACATGGCTGTAGACTGTTGTTTCTGAACGAAAACTTCTTATCCATCTTATTAAATGGACCTTGTGGTGAGATTATTTTGTCAACTGTTTCCAAGGTCAAGAATAAACTGTCAATAACTCAACATCTCAATATTAAAGCAACCTGGATGTGTGGATAACTGAAATAGATGGCTCCTTCTAATAACACTGCAGCCTGTGGTGTAGCACTGGGCATTGAATGGATGACTGCTTTTATTTCCAGCAATCAGTAGGCCATTTATTGGTTAAGCAAAAGTGCTGTCCTGATGACTGTGTGAGGCAGAATAAGGCCTATGGCTGTGGCTGCCACTGTAAAAGCTGGTAATCTATTAGTGCTAAATCAAACTGGCTGATTTATAGGTCTGAGAGTTTAGTAAGTGAATGGTGAAAAAAGGAAAGTTGTGAGAGTGAGGTTTCTAAGTTTGACTTTACAATCCAGTAAGCCTTACAAAATCGAAATAAGAGGATATTGCAGTCAAGTCTGATGCCCCATAGTAAAACTCTGACCTTGAAGTATAAAAAAGCTTATCGCAAGTACTTCAGCTTCTCTGGAGATCAGGGATGGAATAATAAAGACACTCCTAGAGCAAAACAAAACTCTTCAACTGTGAAATATCTTTATTTATGCAATAATGAAAGGTGGACTGAGTCCAATCAACACAATAACATGTTCATCATCATAGGAGATCTGTACAAAACAAACTTTATAGCAGTTTCCTCAAGAGCTGTTTATAAATGGCAAATTAGGTTAATACCCAATAGTTAAGTCACTAATCATTTCAAAACATTAATTAGTATTAATGGGAGGTTAATCATATTTATTTGAAGACAATAATTGTGTAACACTTTTTACATTGACACAATTTTACATTATGTAATATATGGGGTTGTTCTTTTCTTTGCTCTGTTTCTGTGGGCATTATTTCATGTTAGTATCTAAGAATAAAATGAAACAGGAATTGATCTATTTGTCAGTTTCCATTTATCCCACTATAAGTGCATCTGAGGTAAGAGTAAGAGGTAACTTCACTTTATTAACAATGCCCTGCCTCAGTTATAGTTAGACACTATTTTACCACTGAAAACTCAATTCAAGTACTGATTTTGATTTTACTCAACATATGGGGGGTTTTGATTATTATTCACAACTAATTTACAGATACTATTGTATTATTAGTTAAGAGGACCACAAACATGACAGTTGATAGCCATTATTTAACATGTGCAGAGTAATCATTTAACCAATAGATCATTATTTGCCATTTACTAACAATGTTTTACTAAAATGCTGCCAATCGTAAATATTTTACTCATCCAATGTATGATCATGGCAGAAAATATCACTATGTATTATACGGACTACTGGAGTCACTTTGATTATTGTGTATACATTGATTGCAATGCTCATTTCATTACTTGGATAACAATGTTTCAGAATTAACAATCTAAATGAAAAACAAAATCGAGGTAAGTATTTTAGTATTGTTTCTACAATATTATATAATTAACAAGTAATGCTAATTGGTGCACTGTAATTACAGGGGCGGCACTACAGGAGTCATACATACTTAGTAGTAATCAAATAGCTAATTACTGGACCACCTATGGTTTACAGGTGGTGAAATAAAAAGAGTTGAAGACAGCTCCCTGTTGGCTTGCACATTCCACTCTGCAATGCAGGTTTTCAGTTAAACCAAGACACCCTAAGAACCCATAAGCCCTTTTTCTTTCATAGCAGGTATAAAAACCACAACTAAGTAATCCTCTAATACACTGCTTCATTCCAAACCTATAAAAATACATGCTCAGTTCTGAAAAGCCGGCAGAAGTGAGCTGCAGTGATAACATGCAGGTATGTTAACACTGGCCTCCCTGTGTCCTCAGAATCTTCCGCAGAGGCATTTACTTCTCATAGCTGTCTTCATGTTCACAGTAAATACAACCCTACAAATACCTAGACACTCACTCACACATGTACACACATACAGTATCTAAAACATGTCAAAGCAAAATGTCAACGATAGATAAAATGCACTTTGTCATGAAGTAACAGTTAAACTCAATACTTTGGTCAAACAAATCTAATTATTCCGTATTTTTACACAACATCAAAAACAATTTAAGGCAAAAATCAACCATTCAACAAGTCAAACAACAAAAGGTTCAAAAACATACATTGAAAATATTTATTTTTACAACATTTCCTTATAGAAAAATATGTTTGACTTGCACAACATGGCCACAATAAGACTCAATTCAACCTCGAGTGCACAAGACAGCATCAAATTTCATCACAAATCTGTTGGTTCCAGTGTAGCTGCAGTAAATAGATGCAAGGGCATCCTGGTGGAATTTCAACTAGTATGGGGTCTATTGTACAATCTCCTGCAAGCTACTGTCTGTGAAGATTCTCAATCATGCAAGCCTGGCCTGCAAGCTACTGCAGCTACCAAGCTACTAAACTAATGTTGCCAACAGTGACTACACTGTCATTTTAATTATGTATATCGCCTTTTACTGTGTTTATCAATCTGTAAACATTTTTTTGGTCAGTCCAACGCTTTCCTACAACTATGTGTGCACGTGTGTGTAGTAACCAACACACAGCCACAGTTCCCAATCAGCAGGAAAAACAAAAACTACAAATACAATAAAATACAAATACAACTCTTTGTTTCTGAAGCAAGTTCCGCAGCTAAATTGAGAACCACTGCGGTGTGCTTCGATAGTGCAAATGCGACCTCAGGGGCCAAGTTGTGCACACCACAGCACTTCAGCTTCAGTGGACCCTGGTCTGAGGTGGCTGTCGAAAGGCATGTTCTGCCTGACTGGTTGAGTGGAAGAAAGAAATGGGTGGGGGGGGGGGCTGGAGTAGTGCGCCAGCCACAACTTGAGGGAGACGTCTAACACTGGGAACGAAATGGAGGCAGAGGCCGGCGTTGTGCGAGGTTGGCTGATTGGGGCTCCAGACTGCAGAGCTTGTATACAGACTGCACCTAAATGTCACAGTGCTTCTGCGTCCAGAGGCCCCCACAGGGATCATGTATGTTGGGTATTTACATCAGTGGTCAGTCAACATGACCACGTGTTAGCACAGCAGTCTAAATGAGGCCAGTGTGTAATGCAGCGTCTGATAATCTGTTGCTCTCAGTCTCAACAGGTTCAAGGTCAGTACTGTCGTCATGTTTTCCATCCTCTGAAGCGTGCGTGTGTATATGAATATGTGTGTATATCTACTATCTGAAGTACATTCTTTTGATTTTACAATTAGACACATTTTGAGATAGACACAGACATTCGCGAAAATCATTGCCATTTCCAGCAACTGCTTAAAATTTCAGGCACGAAGACTGAGTGACATTATCTGACGAGCAGGTCACGGGGAAAAAAAGGGCCAAACAGGTGGCAAAGTGAAGAGGGCCAAGCAGGAGGTAAAGCTGAGCTGTGAGGGATACCAGCAGAGGATCCAATGTACATGTACAGTAGGTAGAGGTGACACTGTCAAATGAGAGAGGACAATTAGTGAAGTCTCAAAGTTAACACATTGATTAGTGTTTGTGTGTTCTGTATCAGCATATTTCTTCCCACAGGCTCTCACGGTGACACAACTCCAATTACCATAATTGCAAAGACAATATTACAAAATCAAGAAATTACTGGATTTCAAGCATGGTGGGACATTGCATTTGTAGCTCATCCGTACTTATAATCATAGACAAATTTACATTCAGTCCTCATAGGGAGCTGCTGCTAATAATAGCATCACATAGGCTGTCACCGGAATATTAAGTATCCTGAAAAAAACACACTCATTGTTTGTTATTTTGCTAATTTGCTTCTTTAATTATTCCTTTCTGTTGTTTTATTTTACACTTCAGTTTATTCATAAATATAATAATGCTTCTGTTACTACAAGTGTGAAGACCGTAATGTATCAGGTACACCACAGAACATAATCTAATCGAGGTGGAGATTTATTGACTTTGCCAGAACTCAACAGTAGCAAGCAAAATCAATCTGTGTTTGCGTCAAAGCGTCGCACAGCCTCAAGCTCTCAAAGGCTTAACAGGCAAAGTTGTGAAGTAAAAGGTGAAAGCATTATTCAGCTAGGATTTATTAATGTTAGCTTAATGTTTGCTGCCCTTAATGCGACAGTGATTGTTATTCTTAAGACGGAAACAAAAAAGCATAACAGCAATTGGAGGAGGCGTATTCAGACAATCTTCACCATTTTTATGCTCTTAACTAACGTCTGATCATAAGCTGTCTGAGAAAGCCTGTGCACGATTGCAATCCTAATCCACTGAAGTATTCAACATCTTGCAAACATTCTTTTTTTATTATGCACCTTACTGCTTCGTTTTAGAATATGAAACAGCAGTATAGTACAGTCTCGCACTGGTCTATCACAAGAGAAATCTGCATCATTTGTGAAGGACAACATGACACACTACTGTGCATGTCCAGAAGGTCAAGCAACAAATGATAAACAAGCAAACAAAACAATTTAGTCAGATTAACTATTAAAAATGAAAGCAAGCGCACCTGAAATGTCAAAAATAATCCCTCATTGCAACATGACAACTATGTGCGCACACAACCACAGCAAGTAAGGTAACTAACTCTTGCCCGGTCTGAATTCTTTTCAGCAATATCACTGTTTCCAAGAGCTAGGCAATAACTAGGCGAGTACAAATTATCGATTAGAATGGTCGACAAAACTACAAAAATAGGACACAGGTGTTATATATTATATTATATTATGGAATTATCCTTTAAATCCTCATATTTAAACAATAAGGTCTCACCTTGGCCCTGGACACTTAGACCCCTTTGTTCTCCTCTTCTATCCACCTGCAATCCTTTCATCTCTCTTTTGACGTCAGGGAGTAGTGTCTCCACGATGCATGGAGGCCCGTCCCCATGCACCTTGTCCACCTCCTCCTCCTCCTCCTCCTCCTCCTCCTCCTCCCCCGTGGTCCTTATCTGACTCTGGCTGGCTCTGGGCTCTCTCAGGCTTGGGGTTGGGTGTACAGGGTGGGTCGGGCTGTTGTACTGACATGGTCCTGCGCAGGTGGGTGCGCTTACACAGGAAATCGGGCTTCGCTGACAGACCAAATGAGCCTTTCCTTAGGACCATACGAACCGAAGGGGATTTCTTGGGTCTGGCTCTGTGTCCAAATTGAAGGGTTGAGAGGTGCGCTGCATAGCCCTCGCTCAGGAACTACATATACCACACAGAAAAAGGGTCAGAAAATCAGATCAGAGAGTAGTAAGAAGATCAAAGTAAATGAGACAAATCAAGAGGAAAAGCAAAACCTTTTAACTGTAATAGGCAGACAGACAGACCATGAAGTGCCACTAAAGAAAGAGATAAAAGACAAAAATGAAAATTGAACTACCTGGCACTGATTTTGGTACTTCTTTGAAGGTCTGCCAACAATATAAATCTGTGAGGGGCTGAGGCCAAGCATGTTGTAAACAGAGATGTCCTTCATGGAGCCATAAGCAGAGTTGATCTTAATGTGACACTGTTGAGAAAGGAAATAATCAGTCGAGAAGTGTGTGGCATTTCGATGCAGCACAACCCAAGGCTACAACACTGTGAGCTTGCAAAATAGTGATACGGAGGATCAAAATGTTTCACATGCTTTATTTGAAAGATCAACAGCCCAGTTAATGTCAGAATGATGGTGTACCTCATGTATGAGGTTCCTGAGGAAGATGGTCTTTTGTCGCAGGGGATCATGAACCAGGCCTTCGGAAAAGAAGATCATCCCATGGGGAAAATTATGCTGCGAGAGCCAGGATACCACACGCTGCTTCTGCATATCCGGGCGGCCTGTGATGTAGATAATCAGATATCCCAGGTCCTGCCAATGCCTGCATGCGAATACATAACATCAAACACCTTCATAGTTATCCATTTTATCAGTATTGGCATGATCACAGAGAGGGCATGCTTAAATGTTTAAAACGTCCCATGCGCACACATGACACACACACATGCATGACAAACGCACGTTCAGAGGCTGTGTTGCATTACCTGACGACATCAACAGCTCCAGGACGGACCTTGGGGTCACTACCCATGATTGACACACTTGCAGCAAAAGAGCCATCAATGCTGAAGACCACACACTCCATGCCCCGTGGCAACACAGTCAGGTAGGCCTCTGCACTTGTTTGATCCCCCCTTAGAATCGAAAAAGAGAGAGATTGCATAAGAGACTGCATTTGCTATACATGGTTATTATTCCATTCAAGGCCCTTTATACTCTCTTACTAGAATGCTCTCCTTTTGCTATGTGTTGCTACGTCTTATGTGTTAAAGCAGCACTCTGCTTTACTCCGGGCATGCAACACAGATGCTTACTTGACCACCATTTTAATTGGATAGACTCCCAGGCTGAGCTTCCTGCTCTTGGGTATGGTATATGTGACTCTGCCGCTACTGTTGGTCACCTCGGTGTCAAAGTGCACCCAGCGGCCAGACTGAGGTTGTGTCATTAGCAGGACATCGACCTAAAAGAGGCAGGGTGGGTCAACAGGTGGAAGTTAATGTAAGTTTTCAATACACAAACACATTTCTTTGGTAATCAAACATCATGCTGCTTTTCACCTTTTCTCCAGTCAGAGTGACCATGTCCAAGGGGCCGTACATGAAGCGTCCAACCAGAGTTTGAGGTCCATCCTCGGTGGCAATGACATCATTTACCCTGTGGTTGGCAGTGACGTTCTACAGAAGATAACAATAGGGATCACACTCAAGTCAAGGTTAATATTTTAGTGCTGCTTGCGCATTAGTGATGCTCTCTGTGGAACAAATCTGAACATTTAGACAACACAAACTGTGAGGTGAGTGAGAGAGATCTAAGCTACTAAGTGGACTTTGAGTTTAGATTTTTTTCACACATTAAGACCCCAAGTTTAAGAATTAACTTCAATGCTCACACCTGCGTTGCACAGACTGTCTGTCAGCTCATTATTTTGGTTTTACAACCCACAGTTTTACTGTTTTGGTTTCCTCTCATCAGCGTTATTTCCAGATGCACCAGGCAGCTCATTTACCTACCCGATGGCACTTGCCTAGCAGCAGACCACAAACAGACTGACTAAGTATTGATCAGCTAAAGAGCCTGATAATTACGTCATGAGTTGGTGGAGAGTAAACAGAGCTAAAAGGTGAATGAATATTGGACTTATATAAGCCTGGTGTTCATAAACACAATTACAAATGAATGCTTTGTTGTTGCATATATGCTTGTTGTATATATAGGCAACTGTTTGCTAACAAGTTAACTTGAGTTAAAGATGATAATATGTGAATATTGTGTTTAATGATTGTTTCTGCTGCCCCAAAAGAGCCAAAATTTCAATTCATATAAGGGTTTAAAGAACCATTCAAAATTCACATTCACACTAAATTTAGAAGAAGAGGGGGCTGGGGAAGTGATAATACTAAAAGCATTTTATATGGACCGCCTAAAATGTAGAAATAAATGATTAGACAGTATGTAGAACTTGTGACCATGAAATTACCTCTCTGCCTGCCTGAACTACTGTGAGGATCAAATAAAATCACCACTGGTGTTTGTCCTTGCATGCCTGGCTGTACAAGCCCTTAAGACATGTGCAATACAACAAGAGGGAAGTGGTCAAAGTTTCCCGTGCTTTGATGCGTTCCATTTCCAAGTTTCAATGCCCAGCCAAATGCCTCAGAAGTATGCACAATGGGAGCTCTATATTGAGCTTCCTTGTCTTGTTCTTTTCTCCATATTGCACCATTCAGCGAGTACCTCCAAGTGAGCCTGCAGTGAAACACTAATCCCTAAATCTCTTCTTGCTGAGATGGATGCATTTTAATAGCATATTATCAGCACACTAATGTATAACTCTCAGACTGTTGTGGTCCACTATGACAGGAATTGTTATTTTCCTACAGACTTCTCTTCCATTTCTGTAACCTTTACTTTATCCTGGAGAGTTTTGCTCGGCACAAATGCTCTTTTACCTTACACCTTGCTTTTCTCCCAAATGGTTAGACACCTTGAAATGTGTTTTTTGCCCTGTAGATAAAAAATAACATTTCCTCCACAAGCTTCTGCAAGATGTATGCTTATGAAGATGTAATAGAATGTTCATTTTAAAAAATATAAAATACAAGAGTCATGTCTTACATAAACATACTATAATGTATATTATGTGTAAACAAAAGCAACAGCAATAAATGTGATTTGTTATTTATTGCAGTGATTTCATCAGGAGTGAGAGGCTGTGATGACATTTTGTTTACTTGAAAATTAACATTTGTTTATTGACAGCACTCACCAAAGGATAATGGAGCATCTGCATATAGCACAGCTGTTGCACTAGCTTTGTCAACTATCAGTTGCATTACTTACTGATCCAGTGACGGCAAGCACATAGTAAACAAATCACATATCCACACCTGCGCACGCTCACTAGCCTAACATTTTTTTGTCAATTTCACCATTTATTACGGGATTTTGTGGGAGTGTGATGGGACAGGGGTGAAAATCCACTCCTGTGTCACACTCTAATACAGTACATAAAACATCACAGTTACTGTGTGTCTTTGGGAGGCCTAACATCGAGGTCTAGTAAGATTTCCCTGACACAGTTCACTAGGTAGTCTCTGTATGGTCATATGTGAAAACAGAAAAGCAAGCGCCTCAGTATCACTATCCACTCACAGACAAAGTGTGGAAGAGATGAGTTGGAGAGTCAGACCCCCACTGCATGTACAAGAAACAACACCCACACTAGTGGGCCCTTCCCAGTTGTGACAAAGACCTTTTACCAAGCTGAGGAAGCTCAGAAAGAGATGCCAAGTCTCTCTGAATAGTATCACTCTGCAGCAGACAAGCCCAATCTGTGCCCAGATTTAATCAGCACGGAGTGGCTCTGAATCTCCGCATGCTGAATTGTATCTACAACTTTTGTAGAGGTGCTTTTTTTCAAGAACTTACATCAGAAACACATCACTTGGCCAAGGTGAGGCATGAATGAGATGACACTGAAACAAGAAAACCTCCGCAGACTCAAATATAGATGTTTCCATGGTACTCTGCTTGCACAGTTCTATTTAGAGCCTCGTAAAAAGAAAGCAGTAACTAAATTCTTTTCTTTAGAAAATGGAAGATAACAGGAGCATTTGGTGGATAGCAACGTGACCTTGATTGTTCTACTGTGTATGGCTATATCAAGTTAAGTGTGTGTGTGTGTGTCTGCTTGCTACAGTTCTTCAAGATCAAAGTGTGGGAGTATTTTAAGAAATTCAGACCATTCACACGTACTGAAGCACTACAACCTCAGCATTTAACAATAAATTCTTATTTTTAGTTTGAAGGAATGAAAGACCAATGCATCATAATAACAATTTCTGCTGTACATGTGTGTGTTTGTATGGATGGTTGTATTTCTGAGAATTAAAGGCACCTTAGAGACAATATTCCAGGTTGTGTAATAAATTGTTCCCAAGCCAAAGAGCTTTCTTAAAATATTTAAGAATTTGTTCATTTGAGCATGAGCTTCTAAAAGTGAATTGAGATAAATTCACATTTCTGCCAGTAAAACAAACTGGGACAAAAGTACATTCATACAAAATAAACCACCAAATAATTTATTACCCTTAGTTTGACATGTGTCCTCCTTCTGAGCCATTTTTCTCGTGGGCTGGAGGGAGAGAACGGAGCTGAGTCCAAATTGTCCGCTTCCTGGGTCTTCACACAGTCACATCGCATGAGCTGTCAATAATACACATGCATATATAAGAGCAAGCATTTCCACACACAAATCCTATATTACGCAGACAGTCTAAGCAGTTTGTCTCTCAGTAATGACTCTAGTCTTACCTAAACAATTTCTGTACATTGATGCAATAAAGTATAGACAATAATAACATAGAAGGTTTACCATCTGAAACCTTGAAATTAATATGCAGTTATGTTTTGGGATCATAAATCACAATTATAATGGAAAGCTTTGTAACAAGAGCAGCAATGACACTGATCAAGGGCTAAACAGTGGTTTAGAGCAGTCACTAAATATTACCGTGCAGAGGCAATACATACCATTCCTGACCCAATCACTGGGTGGCTTGGATATAGAGAGGCTCCTACATTCTCTTAAGCACTAAACTTGGACTGTGAGAAAAGTACATCTTTAACAAATAATTGTATGTGCAGCCCTTAAATTCTATTACAATCCCTTACTATGATGCTGCATTGAATGAGCTGAAAATCACTGAACCAAAATAATGAACTTCAGGTTTATTAGCTTCCCGAAGGCTTTGATATTACATCTTCTTTCCTATGTGTTCTCCTTATTTCCCTCACGTTTTCTCACAAAGAAGACATGGTGCAGCAGACATAGAAAGGGTGAAAAAAAGTTTCTTTTTTTCTTCTCCGATAGCTCTGCTTTCTAATGATCAAGTTCAAATGCTGCCAGTGTTTCCAGGAGCTTCTAATAGAACATGATGTGATACACTTGTTTTATTTAATTATTTTTTGACCTGTTCTTTGTTGGTGCATAAGCATTCAGTAAGCATTCTTGTCACTATCACAGACACACAAATGCCCCTTACATGTGAATGTAATCACAGTGGGTAGATGGTGGTAGTAACGCTGCCAGGGCCAAAGTTTCATTCCCACTTAGTACAATAAATATAAGCAATGTAGTGTGATCTGACTTGTAGATCCACATGCCATGACTCGGTAGTGGACTGTAGCTCACATATACTGTAAGATGTCTTGAAATCATGTAAAACAATATTTATGATTACAATGTTTGGGTAAATCTCTATATGCATTATTTATTTCTTATTGCTGGCTCTGTCCACAGTTACGTGTCATAAAGGAGTGTTGAAGACATCACTGGCTCCCTGCCAGACTTGTGGTAATAACATATTCAGGGTGTCGTCTGTGCAGAAGGGTCCCTAGAACAGCTAAGCAGCATCTCCTTTCTATGCTGTGTTGTTTGTGAAGCAAGAAGACATCATTAAATGGAAACAGCTGTTCCACAACTAATAGCATTTGGTTCAAAGAAATTGCAAAAGAGAAGAATATAAAACAGTCACATTTCATTATCTTAAACTATGAGTACAACCTGAAAAATCACTGAAGATGCAGCATCTATGTTTAAAAAAACTACATCAGCTAGTCAGAGCTAGAGGATTGGAATTAAATTGGTTCAAGTCTTCCCTACAAGCAATTATATATCAGAACAAACTGAAATGGCATGTGGAGCTCCCCAAGGGCCAATCCTAGGACTCCTTCCATTCAGCTGTCAAATTTGCACAACAAGCTTTTATTTTGTATATACTATTTTTATATCTTGACTTTTTCCTCATCTTTAAGACGTCTCCATGTCTTATGTGAAGCATGTTAAGTTTGTACAAATGTCTTCTTATGTCAACACCCATGTAGATTATGAATTCATGGCGAGAGCATTGATTCTGGTAACAACCTTGCAAGTAAGGCCAAAACAAGTTTCTAAAACTACCACCAACTACTACCACTTTACATTAAAGCTATAAAGAAAGGCTATTCTCCTACAACTTTCTTATTGGTGGTTTTGTTATGTTATACAGTAACATTTCAGCATACATACATACATACATACATTCATCTCACAAAAAGCTACATTTTTGATGCAGTGACAGCAAGTGGCTTCCTGCTGCTCTCATTGGGTTATAACAAAATAGAAGCAAACAAACCCGGAGCCCGTGGACCTGAAGCTGACTATAATTGTTACATCAAGGAAATCAGGGTTCATATACAAATGTATGACCTTAACAAGAGACTGGAGACGTACCTTATTTTGTCACCCACAGCAACATGCTTACAGAACCTCTTTGATTTGACAAGTTTGGTCTTTACATTATGCTAGTTACCTATAGTTGTTGGTAATACATTACAGTATGCTAATTATGCACACGTCTCACATGAAAAAACAGTAAGCCTTCAATGGTTTTAGTGCGCTAATTAAATTGAAACTTGCTGAGAAAAACACTATAGGCTGTCAATAATGCTTGCCCACCTGCCGAAGAACAAAAGCTGCTACGTCAGTGGACTCCCAGTACGAGGCGTGAAAAAGGTGAGGCAGAGCCACTGTTGGGAAGGCAGTCAGAACATCAGGGCAGTACAAAGCATAATCCAGCCTCTTGGAGCCCCACCAGCTACTGGAAACTGGAAAAACACATATGCAAGCATTGACTTGTGGAAATCTGAGGTCAACTTAAGAGCTGTAAAACCTCATGAGCCTGAATTCATCTACAGAAGATAATTGAATAAATGAGACAAGGCAGAGTAGCTTCTCTGTTTCTCTCCTTCCCTCCCACTCACTGTTAGCGATGGTGTTTCCCAGCTGGCCCATGGAGCAAATCGACGATTCACTTTCCACACTAGTCAAGCTGGCTCTACGACCTCCCTCTTCTACTCCTCCTCCCTCAGTCTTGGTCTCAGAGGATGGCTGTGAAGCTGGACCTCCAGGAGTTTGATCACCTTCCAGAAACACGTTTGTATGACCTTGGATGCTCTCCGCTAGGGAGTGTGAGAAGAGGAGGGAAAGAGAAAAGACAAGGACAAACGGAGAGGGAAGAGGAATGGAAATGCTTTGATTGCACAACAATTGATTGTCCTCAGTCTTTCAATCAATGCTGTTATTTTGCCTAATAAGAGCCTCTTGCTGTGCATTGACTTTGTGTTTTAAAACCAAAGATAAGCACTAAGTAGGAGAAATGACAGAGACTGCTTCTACCGTTCATGGGGTTCAATCCGTTGGCTTTGGAAGTCCTAAAAATCATCTTGCTCTTGACTCCTTGACTCTGACATAGAATAATTAAAGTAGAATAATTTTATCAAGCTGGGTTATTCTCTCCCACCGGCACCTATCTACGCAGCTCTTTCCCATTTGTTCAACAATAATACTGTATAATAGGAAAAGGAGAATTTTCTCTGTAGACACAGTTCCACCAGACATCATGGATCTACTTGTTATTCCCTAAGACACAGAGCCTTGAGGAACCATATTTCATCAATAATTTAATCGTTTGAGAGGCAAGTGTCTGTCCGTCAGTTCAATATCACATTTATCTTAAACCCTACAATGCATCCTGGGGACAAAAGGACACTCACAATGAATGTAATACGACTTCCACCAAACAGTATTGCCCAACATAGCTGAACAACACAGCCATAACGCTCATCTCATTCTTTGAGAACACTTCCACACTGTTATCCTCTTCTACCTGTATTATGAAACTCAAAATGTTTTTTCAACCTGACTCTGGAGAGCACTCATTATCCTGTTACCAAGGCCTTGTATGTTACTTTGGATCTATTATGACACAGGATATGGCTTGACTCACATCTGAATGAGCCTCTAGTCCACCGCTGCGCTACACAGTGTGCTACAGATGAAATGCTGACCTCAGTGGCAACCTATTAACCAGTCCATGTTTTGCTAAACTATTGAATGGGATGTCTATCTATATATTTCTACGTATGTCACATGCATGTCACGCAGACACTCAACAAGCAGATAACCCCACTTCTGCATCATGTCATGTACTCGCACCCATGTACTATAATGTGCATCAATTTACTGAGATATGTTTTAATCTTTTGATAGAGTGGATATAAGGTATAGACCAGGAGCTGGAACAGGAAGCAGCATCACTGAAGAGAGCTGAAACAAAAGGAAAAACAAAATGTGTGCCACCCAGATTAGTCCCATTCACATTATCTGTGAAGGTAAATCATATTAGATAAGTCCGATGTTCCCCTTCTAGGGGCTACATCAAATTATTGTCTGAGGCTGAGATCTAGTAAATGTGACTATTGCTTAGCTGTTGTTTCAGTCCAATGGACAGTGCTAAGAGATAGAGAAGGAGAGAGAGAGAGATTTTATTACAAATAATTGTTTTGATTTTGAAAACAGTAGCCTTACTTCATCCGTACAGGGGGGGGGAAGCTACATTGTTGTGTCTCTACCAATATGATTCAACTTACACCCCTGAAACAAACCATAGAAATGCAGTCGCATGTTGCGTGCTTGGTCTGTGAAGGATCAGAAACTTACAGAATACAAATTAACAGCTGCTCTTTCAGACATGAGGGAGAATCAGGTGGAGTTAATAAATTCTCACGGCCAAAACAAAGACGATGGAATCTGAAACACTGTATGTATCCGTAACGCTAGATTTGAATGGTTTTCCATCTGAATGGGCCTGCTTTTGAGGGGCAAAAAATAGGTTGCTGGTTAGGAAGATATGGCTGGTTTAGGGATTGTTTAGGCTCATTTAAATTCATCAGGGTAAAACATTACTTTTTTTATTTGGTATTATTTAACCAGATAAATACAAGGAATATAAACACTGCATCATTTGTTTGCTTAGGTGTTCAGGTTCAAATGAATTGGGTTCAACCCTAGCATAGAAAATAAGAGTAGGATCTACCACTTTTCTGTGCAGAAGCATGCACGTTTTTGTGTGTCTGTGTGTTTCTATGTGTGTGTGTCCTAAGCCCTTTTCCTTATGGATTAGGCTACATAAAATTGCTGGCATCATCTATCTGTTAAAGTGGTGGCATTTTTTCATTTAGACATAGGTTACTTTTATGTTATGTCCCTCATGCCTTCCTTTCTGCATTTCATTAGCTTTGCACCCGTACTCTGCATAATGACACTAAAGTTGAATCTAATCTAACCTTACACCTTTATTCAGACTGGACAGCACATTCACAGAAAGAGCCACATGCTCACATTATATTTGATAACTGGTTGGAGCTGAGAGAGTACGGATGAATTTTAAAACATATTTTGCTGTTGAAGCCTTAATGACTGTAGTAAAGATCTCAGTTTTTATATTGGTTTTATCCACTTTCTTCCTCCATCTAACTGGGGTGAGTTCAGCTTCAACAAAACATAGTAAAACGTTTTTTTCAATGGAAACGGTGGTGCCTTCAACAACCTGTTGTGTACGCAAGCGTACTGCATTTTCCTGCCTCTTTAACACGATTGTGTTTACAAACTTGTCGCAGCTGTGACACGCCCACCAAACGGGAGAAAACACACCTCGAAGCCAATTGCAGAACGTTGCACAGCGTTTCAAGTAAATGTCAGTCAATCCAAAAACGTTGCAAAACTTTTTGAGATTGACCTCGCCCCTGACTTCCTTTACTTCACTTCCTTTCCTGTTTTTTCCTCATCACTGATTGGCTCTTGTTTTCACCTTTTCGTCGCTCCTCTTTAACCTGATTTCACCTGATCACAATTTACTTAAGGCCTACACTCTCATTCAAACACTCTTTGACTTTCGCATGGGGTGGCAGCAAGAAGAATTTATTTTAGTTCTTATCCTGTGTCCATGTTAGTTATCTGAGAGCTTTAAATTAGATATTTATCTTTACTTCTTCCTTTGAGATGGCTTTAGTTTCTAATATTATGCTTGTTTTCTTTCCAATTGAACAGATCATGTCAGTTTCTCACACCCCCTTATATGTTCATAAATTAAACCTTTGAGTTTTGAAGAAATAAACTTTGTTCAGAGGGTTGAAGTTTCTTCGCTTAATCAATGCATCTGATTGGATGCCCGTGATAGTAAAGTCTCCATTTTGAAACTCCTACTTTATGACCCTCATGAGAACGAGAGACGCTCACCCCATCCTCTCACAGTGAATCCACAGATACATTTTCACATTGATTTCATCCTATAATGTTATTAGAGAGCAAATTCTGCTGACTGTTTTATAATAACAGGCATTGAATGAGGATGTTAAGCTGGGATGGATATTCATTGATTTGTCCACAAAGTTGTGGGGGGTGGAGGGAGACTGTTGGTCAGATTATTACAGTGGCTGTATTGTACATCGTCTTTTTATAGACTGATCTGATAGCGCTGCAGCCTTGAGATTAATCTGACAGCATGCAGTTAAGATATCAGCTGTGTTGAAAGTGATACATGTGACTAACATGTTAAATTGCCGTCAGACTAACATAAGGGAGTGCATGTCTGAAAATGGCTAAAGAGAGAAGTTGTGACTGTTATAATTTTTTTCCCATTCACATTGACATATTTTAAGCAGAAAGACAGTTCACATTATAATGCTAAAATGCCAAAAGAATTCAATTTCAGCCTTTCAAATTGAAGGATTTGCTGTTTTATATCATTGCAAATTGAATACTTTTGGGGGTTTTGGATGGTGTGTTGAAGTAGAACGGCAACAATTAATAATGTAACAGAAATTGATCTGCAGCTATTTTGATTATCAATTTGTAGTTTGACATTAAAAGTTGATGGTTTCAGCTTTTCAGATGTGAACATTTGCTGATTTCTCTTAACATAACTGTAAGCTGAATATCTTTGGGTTTTGGACTGTTGGTCTGACAGTCAAACATAACTGTGATGACAAACATCACTTTGGGCTATAGAAACTTGTGATGGGGTTTTTAAACTATTTTCTAATTTATAGATTTTTGATTAATCAAAAACCAAATATGCAGATGAATCTATTCTCTAAAGAATCGTTAAATATGCAATTAAATAATTTTCTGAAATTAGGGAAACTAACTTAAAGAATTATAAAAGGAATTGATATAAAGTTATATGCAGTCGGTTGAAATCTAACAGTATTCCTTGATTTTGATTCATTAAGGATTGATTGGCAAAAAAAGAGGATTGATCTGGACGGAGAAAGATGAATTTATATGTAGTGCTACTTCTGGTCAAACCTTTACATTTTTACAGGGTTTGGGGTTATTAAATATTTGGGTGGATATTTACAAACAAGGCAGGTTTTCAGAAATTACTAGATCGGAAACTGACAGTTAAAGATCCACCACAGAAAACAGATTAAATGCCACTCTCTCTGGCCACCTGTTTGGACCGTTATGATAACAACTGAATGTCACATAACATCCAATACCTATTCTCTAATCAAAATAGTGCTTTTAACTGAAGACAGAGTTATTGTACATACTGTACACTGCTTGCGGTGATTTCAGCAATCATACATTCTCTGAGGTATCTAAGAAAGCATTCTCACACGTGTGCATGTACCTACACACACGCGCACATACACACACAGTATTATCATTAATGAGCACTGACCCACACCTCTCAAAGGAGGAGCATTCTCTTTTAGTCTCTGCAACATTAGCACAGCTCTATATTTCACAGCAAAATAAGCAGAGAGGAAGGGACAGATTATTTTGACAGAGAGAGAGAAAAGAGAGAGGGCCACAGACTGACGCATTTTCTGAAACACACTAACATACATAATATATTTTCAAAAGACGTGTTCTGTGGAAGAAGCAGTGAGAGAGGAGGGCTAGCAGGAAAGATTGGGCTACATGGTGACAAAGAGGGGGAAAAAAGGACTAACATGTGCACACAAGTGTGTCTGTGTGTCTGTGTGTCTGCTGTAAAAATCTAAGCACACACCAGTCCAATTAAATGGAAACGGAAAGATTATGATTTAAGCACGAGGCAGGGGAGAGTGAACCAGCTAATGACAGATGTTAAAGGAAGGACAAGCAGAGA